TTCTTCTTTAGGTGGCGATATTCTTTCATTTGTGGCTATTTTAGTAATCTCATTTGATGATTGTGTTGATCGAGTAAGGCCTTCAAGAAAAAAAACACAAATAATAATAATGATAAATATAATATTAAATCAGAATAGATTAGGAAAAAGTTATATTAACCATAACCATGAATTAAATTACAAAAAAGAGACATAGCATAAACAAGAAAACAATTGTTCCCGAACGATTCTTTGATACAATTAAAATTTTATAACATATTCTAAAGAATTCCTTCAAATATTTTTAAATACTTTCATTACATGACTAGTTGTAAAATCTTGATTGTTTAGCACTGACAGAAGAAAAAAAAGTGTCATGCATAAAGTAAAAACTAGCCGCCATTTTATTACCTGTTGAATCGTCATCAATATCAATTCCTAATTGATGATAAGACAAATGTTAAAAGTTTTCTATCATCTGCTTATGAAAGAATGTCTTTTCTATCTCTTTAATTATAATATACCTGCAGGTCGTATAGATGTATGCGATGTTGGTGCTCGAAGTCCACTTTGCTTTGATGGTAAACCAGATGATTTTGCTGGAATTCCAGGTGTTGTTGGTATTGGAATATTTCCTGTACTACTTGCTTGAGATTTAACTGAATGGCTAGAAGCTGATCGTGGAAGATTTGTTTGAGAATCACTAATAACAGATTCAATTTGTCCAGCTCGAACATAAAGACCATGATTCTCATTACATGAAAAATATGAAACGATTGCTCCATCTAAAATTAGTATTTATTATTCAAATATGATAGAGAATAAATTTAAAAACAATACCTTTCTTCTGTACAGTGCCATTATTTTTACCTTTTGGTTCATCGAGAACAACACCGATCCATTCACCTATAAAAATATGTTTAATACAATGTATCAAACAAAAATAAAGAGTTTGTTTACCATCGGCAAATTCTGTTTTTCCTACAAATGCAATTGTACCTAAGCCTTTCCCAGCAATGGATACTCTTTGATCAAGATGAAATGAACTTGGGGAAGCCATTTTTGAGACGAAAATGACAAATAAATGTATGATGACTGTTTATTGAATCGCTAATAAATTCGATTGATTCATCGATATATTTTTTTGACCAATCATATTTCATACAGTTGTCACTAGAATCAATTTTTAATTAAAAATAAAGCATTAAATTATTGCAATATTGATTAATCTATTTTGATTATTTCAAAATATAGAAATATAACAATCACCTAATACTAATATAACTAATAAAGGTCATTGCTAACTATTATGATAACATAATGGATTACTTCTGCTTATTCTTTTACAGAATATTACTCTATTTAAACAATAAAAAAAAAAATGGTACTTCTCCATGGAAAATTAGTTCTTGCTGGTTAGTGATTTATCAATTTTAATGAGCATAAAAGATATATTATGGATATTTTAGGCGATATGACTGTTGGCAAAACAGCTATATGCCATGTTGCTGGTAACGATGCAACAGCATTTCCTAAAACATATAATTGTGTAAGTTTCTCTTGTCAATATACGCAGATCTAAGTTCAGCGTCAGTCACTCTCTCATGCAGATCGTCATGTGTGAAAGGAGAGTCAAGAAAAATACACCAGAATCTTTTGCGATAGATAGAGTTGAAAACGTTACTAAATTAACGAAAAAGTATTATGATCTGAAATTTTCAGGCCATGATCCTATGGCGTTCACAGTTTAAGTACATATATAAAACATATTTTAATAATTTCAAAATTTTTACTATTGTTAAAATATCCGTACAATAGTCATATACCTTATTTTTTGTAAAATAATGTGCCAGATAGAGCCCGGTATAATACAAGACATGATAGTAAGAATCTGTATTTGAACTTGTAATCACCAGAATACATATCAGTTTATTAATTATTTCTTATAGTTAATTTATTTCATATCACTTTCACATACAACAATAAAAAATTTCGATAATGATCAATATTATACATACAGTAAAACAGAAAAACATTTTAATGACACGTTCATCACAGGAAATAACTATAAAAAATGGAACAATGAAAAAAAATATTCGATAACACAAATGATACAAAACTAGAATAGTAGGAGCGTCCTGTCGTATGTCTAGCTTTGGTACCGTACTGAGTAGTTTTGTTATTTCATATATTTGAATTCGTTTTCGTTACCAACGAGCAACAAAATACAACACACTAGAAACAGAATTGAACAGTTATTAGCATCAAAACATAATCATTTTATTAAAACGAAAAATTCTTTAAAAAAAAACAATCCTTTTTGTATATAAGTTTTCTTTTCATATGGAGATGTACTGTTCCAACATTCATTTCATATTTTATGAATTTGTTGTTGGTCTTCAGTTACGGTGGAAATTTTTCAAAATAACAACCAAAAAATGAATTCTTGAAGAGCAGATATAGAGTTACACAAAGGAGGAGGGAAAGAATGAATGCTCTTCTTTTTCAATTCATTTATGTTCACAAAAATGTAGAATTTAACTATTATAGACAAGCACGGCTGATCTTGTTCTCAAACAAATTCGCGTACCAGATAGTGATGATACTGTGGTTCGTATATATATATCCAATTTCAGTAATATATTTGACGTAATACATGTATTTATGTATTTCTAGGAATTTTTTTTATTTGATAGTTCTGGTAATTCTATTTATCTTGATTCATTAAAAGATGTGGTATGTTTGTTATTAAAAATATAATCTACAAAAATATATATTTATTTGAATTCAGTGGGTAACTATGGATATGTATTGTATTGTATATGACATAACTAATCGAAATTCATTTAAAAATTGTGCTATGTGGCTTGAAGAATTAAGTCAATCACGTGGTGATCATAATGTATTTGGTTAGGAATTGAAAAACGAATCCTTTTTTTCTTTTACAATAAATTCTTGTTTTTATTATGTTTAGGTGTTTTAGTTGGCAATAAAAAGGATAAAGAAAGTTATCGAGCAGTTTCAACACAAGAAGGTAAACAATTGGCAACTAGTCGAAAAATGGAATTTTTTGAATGTTCAGCTGTAAGTTGAATGCTTTCGATGATTTGAAGATTTTCTTTTGCTACTTTTTTTTCATTATTTATATTTTAGAAAGATAATAAAGGCATAGCAGAAATTTTTAAATATTTAGCAAGTGAATTTGTAAGTCGGTATCGAAAACGTATTCGAACATTGGAAAAAATGGGACGTGAAACTAATTAGGAACTTTGTTTTTCTTGTTTCGTTCTATTATTGTTTAATATCAATGAATATATAAAAAATAAAATCTTATGAACTTTATTTTACTTCATTGCTCATTGATAAAAGGTTATCAATATATGACCTCTTACATTTGTATACAGGTGAATAGTTGATTCTATTCTTTTTATGATCGTTGGGTGTAAATTGATCGACTGTATTGTAGTATGAACAAAAGAAAAAGGTCAATATGTAATGAGAAGAAAAAAAAAAGAACGGAGAATCAGAACTCAAATGGCATCGTTTTCTTTTGTGGGCCATTCTTTTTTCTATCGATGACAGATGCCATATAACACAGGCGGACTGGTGCCAATGTGGAACAAGTGGTTGAATCAATGGTTAGTAACAAATTATTTGGAACACATGAACTATTGACATGCAAAATTAAATAATAACTAAATTGTACAATTATATTCATGCATACTTTCTTACGCATTCCAATCGATGAATATTCATAGACGAAATTCATAAGTTGTTTGTATAGAAATATCAATAAAACTTTTTTTTTAAATAAATAATCAGGCTGTATACTATTTCAATCAATGAAAATTGGCAAAGTAATATGAATTAGAGCTTCATTATGTCTGTTCTAACAATTAGAAAAAAACAATTAAAATAAAATACAAAAAAAAATTCTCTTCGTCTTTTATGATTCATAATGTTTAGTTAATACTTAGAATCTGTATTTATTCATAAATACAATGCAGAAATCATAAAAAAAGATTCATCGAAATAGGCATTTTGAATTAGAAACTGTCTTTTTATTAGGACATAGTAGATTTTTTTCAAATATTTCTAACATGATGCAGATATTGTTTCGATAGTGAAAGAAGAACTTTAACAATATTTGTTTTCTAAATAGTAATAAATAAGAACGATTCTTATCTTATCATTGGAAATGATATATGGTTTTTCATTTAATAAGAATTGAACTCCAGTGAAAAAAACGTACATTTATTTGAATTTGTTTTTTCTTCAGTGCAAAACACCAACAAGAATTTTTCTATCACGAGTATATTAAAAATAAAATATCTGTTGAATACACCTGTGAGATAATAATTGTCGTTAATAATACCATTGAAACACGTAGTTAATGATAATGCAGACAAATATAGCAAATGCTTGTTTCATGGCAACAACGTTTCGTAGGTGTATGTTGGTTATTCCTCAGTATTTAAATACACACAAGATTCATAAAATCTTTCTTATATCACAGGATAACACAGCAAGATTAAAGCCATATGATCCATCCATCTACTTTTGTCTTTCTTGTCGTATGCATTTATCTTAGTCGATATTCAGTACAAGCAATTGTGTTTCCATGTAATAAGACTGCTTCATGTGGTTGTTCACAATTCAATACAAATATCAATGCAAGAATTGTTGGGGGTGAAACGGCCGCTAGTCATAGTTGGGGTTGGGCTGCATCATTGCGTATTTCGTCTGCAAGTAACATGTGTGGCGGCAATATTCTCTCTAGCTATTACGTACTTACAGCAGCTCATTGCGTTACAGAGATGGTACCCACAACTAGTATGTTATCAGTCGTTGTAGGTGCAGACACACTAAATAGTACAGAAGGTCAAAGACTTCGATTGTCGAAAATTTTTATTCATCCTAATTATAACCCAAAAACCGATGAAAACGATATTGCTATTCTACATCTTAGTAAGCCAATAAATTTTAGCGATTTCAATGTTGCCAAAATTTGCATACCATCTATGTCCGAATCCGAACAACTTCGATATCCTATTGTCAACAAACCACTTGTGGCCATTGGTTGGGGGCGTAATTGTTCAGGTGGTAGTTCACCTAACACTCTCAGACAGGTGACAGTTAAAACCATTGAAGATACGGAAAAAATGTGTAAAAATTTAATCGAAAATATCAAACTTCAGTTTTGTGCTGCAGTAAATGGTGGAGGAAAAGGTAAGTAATGTGGTATAATGTCTTACCAAAAAGTAGCATTATTTGTTGCTTAAAGGTACATGTCAAGGTGATTCAGGTGGTCCATTAATGCACTATTCCGAAAAAGAACAACTATGGTTGCTCGCAGGTATAACTTCGTATGGTCGTGGATGTGCATTACCTAACTATGCTACTGTTTATACACGAGTAAGCGTTTATATCAAATGGATTCAGTCAATTGTGGGTGATGATGGTATGGTAGCCATTCGACAAAATAAAGCAAATGTTAAAAGCATGCCAATTCTGATCATTTTTGTTCTAATTTCATGTCGAGTTGTAATACGCATTTAGACTTAAAAGATAAGATATAATTTGATGTTGGCTATTCATAGTAAATAAGAAAATTCAATTGATGCTATAGTAGCTTTCATGGTAAGAGATATGACCATAGACAATACACAGATGACACGGTAGAATCTCTTATACTATTAAGTATTCAATTTATTGTTGATTTGTCTTAAACATACTCGCAATGTATAATGCTAACTTCTTTTCCAATGGCTTCAATTTGATCACTCACAAAACGAATAAAATAATAGTTAACGGTATATATATTTGATTTGTGATGAAAAAAATAAGTATTCAAATTAGGTTATTGTCAATTCACCATAAAATTCGATAGAATTTCCATCAATCATCTATCATCGCTTGAAATAAAAAAACAAATAAACGAGAATCATTGAATATAGATCTTAAGCATGATAGAATTCACAGAGTTGTATGAATTTTACAATATTCATAAGAGTAACATATGAGAAGTTGCCCAGATTGAGGATATGAGTATAAGTGTGGGTGCCTATTGCCATTTCTCACACTTCCGATCTACGACTATGGTGTGTAAGACAATTATGAGCACACTGAAAAAAATGATCTTTTCTTTAATTTACACGAATTATATAAAGCTTCATAATAGGGTATAAATCATCATTTTTTTCTTAAATGTATTTATAAGACGAGAAAATAAGAAGACGTTATTCAGTTATAGCGCTTTAAGTCACTCTCGTAGAAGTCAAATTGAAAGCACAAGCACATCATGTCTGTTGTATTTTCTAAAATTGGAAAAGGAAAGTCAGTTGTGATAGAAAATGGCTTCGATTACATTCAAGGATGTACGTATGATAATAAAAATGGACTCCGTGACGTGCGCAATGTAACAAACAGACATGTAAAGCTAGATTGCATATAACTAACTACATAATTTGTCATCGAGTTGGCGATCACAATTATGTTCTGGATTCGAGTGTAGATGAAATTTGTCGATGTCGTGCTAAGATGCGCACCATGTCTAAAACAACAATGGCCAAACAGTCAATTGTTTCTACAGTAGTCTCCACAGTATCTGCTAGAGTGTTAAGCCACCTTCCGCTTATCAACAACATGAAACGCACAGTTTGCTGACAATGAGCTGCAAATCTAAATTTTTCACCGAAGTCTCGGTCAATATGAGACATACATAATATTCGCTCATTTGCTCTTACAAGGAAAAATGAACAATTACTTCAATACGATTCAAGAAACCAAGATTCGGATCGGTTTTTGATATTTGCAACGAACCAATAACGTGATCTTCTTCAATCATATATGGAAGTATATATGGATGGTACTTTCACGGTCATCGCTAAACTCTTTTACCAACTTTACTCAATCCATGGGTCAATAAAAAGAAATATTATTCCAGTGGCTTATATTCTTATGCCTCATAAAACCGAAGAAAATTACCAAAATATTTATCAGACTATTATATCATTAAGATCACTGTTCAATTTTAAGACTATTCTTATTGATTTTGAATCTGCAACCGCGAAAACTGTTAGTTCATGTTGGCCTCAATCAAGCGTTCATGATTGTTGTTTTCACCTAACACAAAATATTTATCAGCAAGTTCAATAAACAGAGCTTACAACTACTATGAAAACAATGAAGAATATGCACATCAGTACGCGTGCTTCCTGGATTAGCTTTTTCAGAGTTAAATGATGTCTTCGCAGTATTTGAAGATATTAGTGTCTTACAAATGCCAGATCTTGATCCACTTTGCAATTATTTTGAAGATTAGTACATTGGTCGATTTCGAAGTCGCAATAGAAGAACAATTCTAAGGTTCACATTCACATTTTGAAGTTAACACTATTTGTTAAGGAATCAATTCCATTATATACATACAACACTGTCGAAGAGTAGCATCGACAACTTAATAACATTGTGGATTCAGCACATTTTTTGGCTCTTGGCATTTTTTGAGTAATCTTCAAACAGAGCAATCGTACTTAGATGGTGAGATTTCTCAATTTGTAACAAGCCTCGTACCAAAACTAAAGATGAGATAAAACTCAATGTACAGCATCCAGGATTTTATGAATCTTAGAATATTCAGCGAATGATAATATGCAAAAGTTGAAAGCCATTCGCTCATGCATTTATATTATAATTGTTTATTGATTTATGCGCGTTGGTTTATTTATTTTTGTTATTTTTAGTACTTTTTTCTGTGTTGAATGACATTCATTTTTTGACAAAAAAGAATTTATTTACACAAAAAAGTTTATACACACATTTACCTTGCACACAATTGTCTTGCACACACATGTCTTTCACACAATAGTCGTGCTTTCGTATACACACGTCTACACCCACGCCCGTCCCAATCCTTGGAAAGTCCTGTACTGGAATAGCCGTCAGGTAAGTGGATTAAGAAACATGTAAAATCCAATGGTTTCAATAATCTCTAACAAGTCTTGAAAAATTCTTCACTCGATGTTACGTTCCTAACAAATACGTTTGGTTTTCACGAATTTCTTGGTGAATATGAAAAAGTTCCGATAATTTTTCAGGAGGACATGTCGAAGTTCCTTTCGTGTTCTGGTGGCAGAAAATTTTTTGAAAAATAACGGTTTCGAATACTGTAATATTTCGACTGGAATACTTTTTCCATGCTTTGTGTATATTGCCAATCGATTCTTGTCTATTTCAACATGGAAACGACGGTAAATATTGGAAAGAATTGTCGCTTCCTGCAGGATCCAGTGATTGAAATCATCAAACTGTGGTGAAATCAGAGTTTTAAAAAGTATCATCGCGGAGTTGAAAGAGATCATTTGCAATGTGAGAATCATGCTTGAAAAACTCCTCTCTAAACATGTATCTCAATAGACTGCATTAGTGTCGTTTGTTCATCCGAAATGATGTTGCTGCGGCAATCGTTACACACTTCTCCACCACTAATGGATTGATCAACAAAAATCCATTAAGTTGCAGAATAGTTTCTACTTCTATTTTTACAAATCATTTTTTTGTTCTTACATAAAGAAAGAGAAGTGTTCTTTCTCTACTAGCACCCAGTGATTCGTTTTTTGTTTTGTACTTGACAACGACGTGTCATTATGAAATGAGAGTGTTTGAAATAGTGGAAGATATTTCACTTGTCATTGCAGACCGTCTTTTATCTGCCCTCACTGTATCGTCCATTTCATCTTGGAAGGGAGAATTGAAGAATTAAATAGAAGGGAAATGTAGATCATTCTTATCTTTTTCATCAAGTCTTTATTAACCATTTCTTCTTGATTTCTTTAACTTTCAAAGAGTTAAGCATCTTTCACCAACAGCTATAATATACTAATCTATGGTTTCTATTGTCTGCTACTACGTTTTTTCGATTTTTTAACCTCGCGAGACATCTTTATCCTCGAAGTTCAAAGAACATCAACTGCCAAACAGTGAAACAAAAAAGTATGCTTACTGTTTTTCTTGAAGGAATATTATGCCAAACAAATCGACCTGCTGTTTATTTTCTTTAAACAATCCTTTGCTTTTCTCACCTTTCCGATGGACAGCATGTGCCATACTAGACAATACTAGTTCGTTTTGCGCTGTTTTCTATGAGTTCAAATGTTTTTCTTTCGCTAATTGCCTCAACACTGCCAATACTAACAACGAATAACGTCGTTCACCAAAGATGCACGGTACATGGTTTTGTTGTTCCCCGTTGGCTCGCTTCGTAAATCTTCTAATCCCATGCCCTGCTGGTTTCTGTTGCTTGATAAAGATTATTACCTACTCAACCCCATTACTATTTTGCCCAATGGCCCATGCATCTTAGCAGTGTGCCAAGCAATAAACAATTCATGAAAGCGTGAATATCTTTGGCATCCGAGCCATCCTATATTTGTCCTATATTTCAGCCGATTTCTATTTATGTTTCCAAATATTGTAAGAAGTACTGAGAAAGGCGACGGACTCTGTACAGTAGAGCTTAGTTCATTATCAATGAAATGGTCTAAAACAACAAAAACTCCTATTTGAAAATCTGCTCAGCTTCTCTATGATTGTTCTTATCTTTTGTGGAATACAAAATTTCGACGAGAATCTAAACACTCAGCAAAATTCAGATTGAATTTTGTTCATACTGGCAGCACTTAATTGTTTTTCAGCACGCGAAGTTTAAATACTGTCGAAATTTTGCTGATGTTCTTTGAATTCTCAGTGGAATTTCGATTAGTGGAGAGTGAATCGTTTACTTCGTTGTATAATGAAGTCTGGATTCCGCAGAATGTAACCGGATTCTGACAAAACTCTGCTGGACTTTTAAAATTCACAGTAAAATTCTGGTAGCTGTTAGGGGTACGGAACATATTAGGTGAGGGAGACGTGAAGAGAACAGAATTATATTGAACATATAAAAAGTTTGGCAGAGTTTTGACAGAAATCTGTTACATCCTACAGAATTTAAACGTTTTCTCAGTAATCTAATTCATGAAGGCTGAGTGTATCGTCTAATCACTCGTATTCTGCAAAATAAAATAGAGGTGTATGGGGGTGGGGGGGGGGGGGGGGGGGTTGAATTTCTAGCAGAGTTTTGTTTTTCATAGGGATAGGTGGTTTATTTATCCTTGTTCTGTGTGCGAATATTTTTCAAGTCTGCTGATTGAATAAGTATTTTGTTGAAATTCTGTTGTGCTTTTTGATTTTGTAGCAGCATTTTGTATTGACTAGGAGAATGAAGGATTGAGCTCATCGAGTCTGAAATTTTTGTACTCAAACCTGGACTCAGGTCCAATCTGTACTCGTAATATTCTCGATAAAACTCACTAATCCGACTTGATAGTCGCTTCGAAGAAATGTGATTAATTTTTTCACTTACTTAGATTCAACAATTAACACGCACTCAGCATACAAACATAAAAGAAAGCATAGAGGTCAAGCGTAAAGATCAATAACGGTTACAATCCTCGTATGTGGCAATAATATATATATATATATCTATGCGTTGTATATCTAAAGGTATCCCTGTTTGATAAATAACAATGTCTAACATACATTGTTTTTTTCGAATAGTATTCTTTGTACTTACTGCCTTTAGCTGTTTTCTGAGTGTCTATCAATCTCGAAAGACCATTTTCCAAGCAACTGCATTCGGACTTCAAGTCATCATTGAATATCTGACTGATCTTGAGTCATACATCCGACAACAAGTAAATCAATCTATGGAGTTAAACTTTTGCAAGGAGGCTTGTAAAGTACCAGAAGTTAATAATAATTATGATCTGTCTCAATATGAACACGAATGTCCTCACCATCGATACATTACTCGAATCATTGAACGAAGTCCATTGATTATCTATATTGAACAGTTTCTTACTCAAAATGAAATTCAATATTTAATCAAATTGACGTAAATAAAAAATACTGAATGTTATTATACATATATCTCATTGTGTATATACTAGAGAGCCATTCTTTAAGCCTTCAATGACCTATGAAGACAACGGAACATACTCCGTTAACGAAGTTCGAACGTCAAGTTCAGCTTATATCAGTCGTCATCAAACATCTATTATAGAGTGCATCGAACGACGATTTGCACAATTTCAAGGTGACGTTGATGTAGAATGTATCGAACCATTGCAAGTAGTGAGATATACATCTGATCAACAGGTGTGATATAACTTCATCAAATTTGAATCGGATTTTATATACATTCCATTTGTCACTCTCAGGCAGAGTGACAACGTTATAGGAACCACAAATTTTTGGTTCGCGATGAGAATCACAATTTTTTTCCTGTTTCGATCAAAATTGACACATAAAAAACAAAACCAAGCTTTAGTTCGCATTTTTTGGGGTTCCTTGCATTATAAATTAGACGAATAATTATAAAAGATAAAACTAAAATTTGTTCTTTTTTTGGATAAAGCTTAATTTATACTAAAAAAAACACTCATTGTGCATTGACAATTATCATTATTTATATACATTTATCATTTTTTAGTTTAAACCTCACTACGACTGGTTCTCACATTCGGATCTTATGAAAAATGGTGGTCAACGAGTAACAACATTTTTTACTTATCTTCAAGCTAATTGTTCCAGAGGTGAAACGGAATTTCTTGATATTCGATTCAATAAATCATTACATGAGCGATTTTGTGATATTTTAATTTGTGATGAAAAATCGACCGAACTGGGTATTCGATTTCGTCCGTTGCCTGGGAATAGTGTCTTTTGGTTTAATATGGATGAGTATGGACAAGTTGATTATTTGACATATCATGCTGCTCGTCCGCCAGGTGAAAATGGTCATAAGATTGGATTGAATACTTGGACACGTGTAGACACATTTTTCTTGCCACCCAAGAAATGATTAAAAAGTAATTGGAATAATTCTTTTTAATGTTTCGTCGAAAAGAATTACTACATTAACCATTGTACATTTTCATCCTGAAACTTGTTAACTTCTTTGAAAAACAAGACACTGCTGTGTACTTCCACTTGAATTTGAACTCTTGTTTAGAATCGAAATGAACTGCCTCTGTGATCGAAATCTAAGAGCACTATGTCGTATTGTTCCAAAAAAATAAAATTCCTTTTTTAGGAAGCCAGCGTCATATATTTCACAGGGGAACCAAAAACAAAACTGGAGATAACGGAAAGATGGGACTAGGGTGTGGGTGGATGTGGATCTTCTCTTTGTCCACATGTACACTCACAACTTGTTTATCTATTTTATATTTTCTCATAAACTGTTACCAATTGTGAACGATGGTGCAAAGCTTTTCTCTTCGTTGACATAAATACAGGATGATTAAAAATTCTCGAAACACCGATTTATCTATTAAGGGAAACGACATTATATCCATCTTTCTATGCCACATACTCGAGGTATTTATTGCAATGTTTCATGGTAAATTATATCCTTTTAGCTCACTCTTTAGATAAACTTTCGAAGTAAAAGATAGGTATTGAACTGACCTCCTTGATTATTGCTTGAATTTTGATAGTTATTTGAGCCCTCAAAACTTTGCAGAAGTTTCTCATTGGTGAACAAATTTTGTATGATACCATTAGCGGTTATTAGACATAGATGTGCCATTGCAGTATTGGACGGCAGTCATTGTCGAAACTTAGATCAACAAGAGAAACTAGTCTTCCAAGCGACATTCTCTGACAAAGATATCAAAAAAATAATATATGTCAACCATTTAAGGGCATACAAATCTTTATCTGATATCTAGTGGTTTCCAAAGGGATTAGTGTTTGTATCTATATGAGTCATAAATGTTCAAATTGACAAACGAAAAAGTTATTGCATAAAAACATATCATCATGGGCCAATGCAATCCGTTTCTAGTGAGGTTTTTTCGAGCAACATGCAGAATAAGACCGTTATTTACTTGAAAGTAAGAGATATCAAGTTGAGGATTACCAAGCGTATTCATTTTAGACTAGGCTTCCAGACTTTTAGTCTCTGAGATGTATTCAAAGTAGACTAGTTAATCAACAGCTACAACAGTTTAGTAGGGATAATAACCAAAGAGATCAATTCAATACATATTGTTTACTTCGACAGGATATCAAAAGAGTGACTTAAAAGCATGAAATTTTCCATGGAACATCATAGCAACTATCTCGAATATATATGGTCTAGAAATATGGATGAAATGCCGTTTCCCTAAATAGATATACCGAAGTTCCGAGAACTGTTCGACTACCCTGTAGACTGGATTTTTTTTCGCTTTTAAGTCTTTTTTGATGATCTTGGAAACTTTTTACTCTTCTTTTCTAAGAAATCAAAAATAAAACAATTTCAGCAAGTATCATTATCCTTATGTTATTCAAATTATTACAGGAGAAGATCATTTGCTAGATAAGACGGTTAGTGCTTCTCTGCAATGCGTTTCTGGCCATTGAAACAAACATAAGTCTTAGTAGAGTTGCTCTTGTTCGGCATTTCATAGACATGAAACTCAATGTTCGAACAGCTTCTAACAATCGAGAGTTGATCCTGCGCTTCCAGTTTTTGTCTTCTTGTATTTTCGGCTCAATTCATTTACTTCTAAGTGTGTTCCATCTCCTAGAATGAACTTGTACGAATTTAGTTCGTATTTTCTTGCTGTAACCAAAGTTTGTTTGATTTTGTCAAGAACGAGATCTATCGATTGATAACCACGTAAATCAACATCTTTAATGTGAGAGTGGATGATCCATTATGGTCGAACACCATTAATCATGCTAGTCGAAAGTCTAAAAGAACAGGCAAGATGTCAACTTTTTATTTTCACAACACCTTTTAATGTAAAATTCGATTATAAGAATCTTCAAAGCAACACAGACAAATGAGAATGGCTTTCTGAGATGACAGAAAAGTCGAAGGAACAGATAGTACAAAAAGTTTTCAATGATGTCTTTCTGGACTTGTATGTCACTGTGAATGTAAAGCGCAGGTGTAGGTATAGATCTTTTATTCTCGCACACCTAAACCTACATCCAAATATGAAAAAAGTATCTCACATAAAATTCATTTCTAAATTTGATCTGTTTCTTTGAGTTTCCAGAATCTTTTCGATGATGATAGTAACAATGATGGACTAATGATAGATTGAATTAGACAATTTTGTGGATGAATTTTCAAGTCCAGTAAAACTTGCATTCCGAATACCTTGTTTCAGCATCGTTTTCTTATTTTCAGGTCATGGTGTTATTCTAAGTACTACTGCCACGAGTGATTTGTGTCCAATTAAACGAAATAAAAATTGTGTACTGATCCAGTAGGCTAATACATACAATAGCATCAACTTTTACAATTTATTCTTGTTCTTTTTGTTTTCGCCAAAATTTGCTTTGATCAGATGGAAAATACCATATTCCATAAATAGTTCAATGTCATGTTAAGCGAAGAACTAAATTGTACTATATCATACTATCACTCGTTGTTAATAAATTACAAATCGGTGAACTATCAATGTGCAATTATATCGGAATTAAAGGTATAGGCAAAGTTTTACATGGAGGAACTTGATATATTTCTATTGTGAATCCTTTAGATGCTGATTCTATTGTACAAGTTATTACAGATGAATCTTGGAAAAGACAAAAAAAGAATAAATTTTATTCTAAGAAGAGAAAGTAATATTTTCCAATTTTTTCAACTTTTTACTAGTTTTATCAACAATAATTATGCTAAGAACTAAACATAACACCAAAAAATCATAATACATGATCAATCTTCCCCTTAGGATAAAATTTACTTGAACTTTTTCGGTAGAGATTTACTCTAACAAAAGCTTCTCTTAGACAAAAATGAATTTACTTGTGTATATAGATGATTATATATGATAATCTATTAATAATATAAAATGAAGTGAAACAATTATCAACATTGATCAATTACTGAAGTAAATGAAAGTAATAATATATTTTTATGCATAATTTCTATTATAATTGATGTTGTCTGTACAACAAATATACTTAATCAAAATAAACAACGTTTATATAACTATGATGTACATGAATTGTACCGAAAAAAAAAGTATAATGCTAAAATTAGTTCGTTTTCTTCATGAGTCAATGATTAACATCGTTAATATTCGGGTATGAATGGTCCATCAAGATTTAAATCTACATATAGCAATTATTCACCTGTTAGTTTTTTCAATTTCACACCTAAGTAATCCACATGTGCCAAGATCACTTATTCTGCTAACTAGAATATAAAAGATTTTATCAATTTTCTGTAATAACATATTCAGCAAAAAACAAACATGATTAGCAAAAGGACCCTTTACAAAGTAAATGAATAAACACTTACTGTATTTGGAAATCTATGAATTGCAATTGAATATTGTCCTTTTCTCTGTAAATAATTCAATTTGTGCTAAGATTTGATTTGAAAATGAGTTACTCATAAGAAAACTTGGATTACTATCTACATAGACAAAAAAAAGTATCAAACACTATTTCATTCTAATTTTTATAAATTATACTTAAAAAAGTTAAGAATGCAATCCCCAGTAGGTAAAATAATAGTAAGACCACTTGTGGTAGATGATAAATATCAACCTATAACAGTAGAAAACGAATCGACTAGAATGATTTAGCGCTTAATAGACGACTTCTATATATATGGTTTAACATGTCCAGTTTTGACCGGATTACCTTTTAATCAAGCAATATCATTTTCAGTTTGATCATAACCATTATTACATAACATAGCCATATCACGCATTTTCATCATATGTTTATTACAACTTAATCCAGTTGAACCAGTAGCTGATACAAATATTAAAATAATTTTACAAACTTCAGTCATTGTTATTACTTGATAACCTAGAACAATAAATCCGTCATTCATTAAAACCAATAAATAGATATACATTGCCTACCATCGATTACAGCTTGTCAAGCGCTAATCGGATCGATTTCAATAACAATAACTCATGTATCATAGCTACTTAATGCTAGTTTTGCACATCCTCTTCCTACATCACCATATTCAATAATCAATAAAAGTTTCGCCACATCCCTAATTATTATCAAATCATGATTTTCTTACGCCGTCATGAACATTAATAACTGAAACTTTTAATTTTTTTATTTTTCAATAATTGACGGGATGTTGCTACGCCAGCTACTGTTTCTTCACTACACTGGAAAAAAAGGTGCCGTACCGAACCATTTTGTTTCAACAATCAAAGCCTTTAAAAAGGTTTCGTATGAACCTAAGTCACCTTCAAAATAATTTTCAGCGGTCTGGGAATCTTCGTTAGAGGTACCGTAGATCTCCTACGAACCTAAAAACGATTTAGAATTCGTTGCAAAAATCGAAACCTTTTTTAGGTTTCGTACTATGTACGAAGCTATTTTTTAGTTCCGTAGCAATTACGAAACCTTTTTTAGTCCACGAAAACCCTTGTTGCTTTAGTATTCATACAATTTTTTTTCACTGTACTACCATGAATGCGAAAAATAAACAATCATCAGATTATAGAAGAAAAGATAAAATTACTATAATCTATATGCTATTTATCATTTACAGTAGATCTACATTCAGTTACATAGCCTTTTATTATTGGCACACCTTCTTTTATTAGTGATTACCAATATCATTCAATTCATTCATTACTGATCCGATTATTTCTAAAATCAATAGATGCAACTGATTTATCTAAACAATTACTTTAATTTGTTTTTGTTTGAAAACTTATATAAAATACGAAATGAATTTTTGTCAATAATAGTTCTTAACGGAGGGTATGGGTGTGAGGTGTGGGCTTGTGTATGAATGTCCGTAAAGGAGATACTCCTCCTTACATTGGCACACATCCATACCAACACCCAAATCTACACTCACCCACACTCCATCCACATTTACACAAGACTCAAAATGCCCATTCAGGAAGTGCTTTGGTGACCTTCGTGCGGTTTCTGGTCGCGCGAGATCAAAGCAATTATTTTATTATTTTTTATTCAATGTCATTTATTTGAGAGGAAAAACAAACAAAACAAAATTAATCATTCCTTTTGAGTCTATTCGAGAGAGAAACGTTGAACACGATGATTATTTTGTTCGACGACATACAGATTGCCTTGAAGATCGAAAGACAAACTCACAGGACAGTTGAACTGATTTGCTTCTTCTCCTCGACCATTTCCACCCACAGTCACAGTGCCCTGTGTTACTCCTTGAGGCCAACGCATCACTCGATCATTGTTCGAGTCTGCTACATAGAGAGTTCCGAATATATCGGCAAACAATCCGAAAGGACCATTCAACTGTGTCAGAGCACTCCCATAGCCTTGACCGCCAGCGACGACAATTCCTTCTTTTGCACCTTTATTCCACGTCATCACACGATGATTCTTGTTGTCTGATACATAAACAGTCTGTTGTCGATCGACAAAATGGAAGGTTGGCCAGTTAAGTTGATTAAGATCAACACCTTTGCCATTGCCACCAGCCACGATAGTTCCATTTTGATCTCCTATTTTATATCGTCTTACTTCATGGTTTTGGAAGTCAGAAATATAGATATTTCTGATCGTCCATGGCCAATCCCCAACAACTGATGTTGTTGATGAGGATTTCTTCTTGAGTTGTGCCACTACGACGAGACCATCGTACGACTCGTTAATTGTCTCGATCACAAATAATGAGACTATCCGTCTCTTTATCGATCAGAACATCACTGGGATAATAGAATTGATCTAATTGATGTCCTTGATCATGACCGCCAGCCACTACTTGCCCATTCGTATCACCCAGCTTCCATTGAATGATACGATGATTAGCGTAGTCAGCAATGACTATCGTTTGATCATCAACAGAGAGACTACAAGGACGATGAAGTTGATTGGTGGCACTACCACAGCCATGGCCTCCAGCAATCGTGACTCCATTTTGAGCCCGTAAGAGTTTATCTGGAATGTTATATATGAATACAATGAACAAGGGAATTAAACAAAAATTGTCCTCGTTATCGACGATAATATCTCCCTCTCTATTACGCACAGAAAGAAGAAGGGAAGAAGTACTAGGAGTGAGAGATTCTTTTTCATTCTAAGAAAGAATTTCCATCTTTTTTGGCTTAATATTGTTTGAAAACTTGACAGAGAAACAGATTTCTCATGTTCTAATTTCACGTACTCATGAAAGTACGAAAGACTCTCATCATGGCAAAGCAGCATTCTAGTGAGTCTTTAGGAAAATCCTCTTTAGAGAAGGATCTACGACAATCTATCGATTTTGACAAAGTATTCTCGTCGAAGTTCTTGTTGTTCAGAAAACAGTAAAATACGAAGGCATAACATCTCCAAGAATCTTATACCTATGAAGAAAGGTTATTGGACAAGTTTTCGTCTCTCAAAATATTATCAGCAACGCAATGAAAGAAAAAAGAAACTTCTTCTAGACAGGATTTCTGAAATCCTCAACAGAATAGAAATTATCAATTCTAATCTTGGTGCAGATAACGTGCTTGGTGAAAACTTGAGTATGACTACAACGAACGAGAGAAGTAAAGAAAAGGGATCATCATTGTAAACGAAGAGGATGTGGTCGTGCGAGTTTGTGTATCCAAAGAATATTAATACCTCTAACCATAGCCATACTCATATCTACAACTACAACCGTAGATGGAATCGCTCGACTTAGTATTGACCAAGTGTTCTGATCATGCTGAATAAAAATAAATAAAGAGATATTTTTATTTGCATTATTTTTGTCAAATGCTCAGAGTAGTTGCCATTATCACTTATACCAAATTCAATGTTTTCGTATAATTTGTTAAAATTTTATTTAAGTTCTTTTTCTAAAATATCTTTTTATTTCTTTAGAAATCGCACAAGCTCATTATGGTTCATTTCTTCTGTCACTCCAACTATCCTTGATAGAATCATTTAACGAAGAATTACATAGTGCAATGGCTCATGCTCACAGCTGATATGCCATTATACTGGTAGTTTCTTCTCTTTAATAAGTCATAACATTTGCATGAATATGTAATAGAATACGATCGTTAAGCAATGTTAACATTTTTGTGCCTGATAATTATCTTTGTCTCTCTTTCATTGACAAGACGTTTTAAGCAACGTTCAATACAATACTTTTGATTTACAGTCTTGTTCTTATCTGTACTATGTTTAAGAGCAGGATCGTTCGGTCCAAAAAATATACAAAACAACTTTTTATCCAAATGTGTCTCCATGAATAATAGTCTTTGCCGGCTCATGTACAGTAATCCGGCTAGCATCGTATAACTTGCGACCAACCTATCTAAACTAAATCCATACATCATCAACACTAGTACTAGGATGCTATGAATATGGTCTTTCGGCAAATTTCCAAATTTTTTAAGGCAAATTCGTGAACCGAATCTGAAAAACAAAACATGATCAGCTTCCTGTGTTTTCAAGGGGGTAAAACCTCTTTTAGAAAATGAGCTCAAACAAACTTTTTACAGATTATTAGAAAGCATCGAGCTTGATGTAAGTCATAATGGCAACGATTCTGAACATTTGATAGAATAAACTTTAAAATGCCTTTTTATCTTTTTTTATTTTTATTCAGTATAATCAGAACTTCTTGTCAACGCTAATTAATACATTCATATTACCATCACTTTTATTTTTTAATAGAAAATAACATATTGATCATTAGCACACAAATGTTCAGATGTATGATCTAAGTTGGAAATTAGAATGAGTTCACTATGAAACAAAATTTTATTGCAAGAATAAATCTATTATCGGTTTACCCTTCTATCATCCATAGAGCGGGTTATTATCGATAGGCAAGTCGATCAGCCGATTGCTGGTACCTACTGATGGGCCGAATCTCTAACGTTGAAAATGAAAGAACGAAAAGGAAAATTCTTATGATTATAATGAAAGTAAGATGTAATTTTTCTTTTCTTCCTGTACGAAATTACGGAATAATACATTTCTTGTTGACATTGCTAAACGTTGCTCCATAACTTTGTGCAGGATGGCAAGAAAGTTTACGTTTTACATTTATCATAATCGTAACAACTTCTCTTTTTTTTTTCTAACATAAGAGTTTCGGTTCATCACTGCTGGTACCACTTTTATCTACGGCCTTAGTTGTATGCACATTTATACCATTCACACTCTATGTCAAAACTATTGCGGTACAAAACTGATAGATGGACAAATGCAACTGCAATTCTGAAAATCTACCACTTGAAAAAATGCTTTGTAGTACGAAAAAACTGGCTGTGGGAAGTTCTATTGTTCTTAAATACCTAAATTGTCAATACTTTAAAGTTTGAATAACTCAGTTCAGCTGCTCTATCAGTAACTCATATTTTATATTTTGTAGTTTTCCGTTAAGTGATATCAAATCTTAACCTCACCATTCTCTAAATAGTAGTTGACCTAAATCATACCATGATCTCAATTTTTCCTAATGTCTTTTGTATTTTATATAGAACTTTCCTCATAACTGTCAATAATCTACCTGAAGGGTCGGACAACCGAGAAGCAGAATGTGATGACACAGTAGTAGATGTTGATTTTTCCTTTTTCTCAGTTCGTCAGGTGTTAGATTTACATGAAGAAACACCGATTCTACTTTCCACTTGCACGGATGCCGTTGAACACAAAAACTTCTATGCTTTCCTTATAGCAAATTTATCGAATAAATATGTCGATTTACACAAAGTCAACACTCTCCTGATGGCTAACAAGAAGAATTTTATGAGTTTCTTCGCTGTTCGTTGTTAAATGACACTGTTGAAAAAGCAAGTAGAGAACACAGCAGAGTAGTAAGAATGAACAATCGTGTTCTGGTCGCAAAGTCTCTCAACTAATTCAAACAAAAATATTCACCTCTCTCACCGCAGTCATGAAGAAAAACCGTTTGTCTCGACTTTTAAGTGCGCAAATAATAAATTTAAGTAGGGGGGTATGCTTGTGGACGTGGCTGTGCGTTAATGTGAGTGAGTGTCAGTGTAAATGTGGATGAGTGACGAATAGATCCACAGAAAAGCTCACATATACACCCACATCTCCGTCCAAAATGTTATTCCTTGAAGCCTTTAGATAAATTGATTAAAACATATAGCTACACTTAACTCTTTGAAATATCTGTATAACACATCATTTGAAGCGTTAATAGTCAAATGACAAATGTAGTTTTAACGATTGATCAATTATAAAGATTGAAGATTTATAGCTTAAATGATGTCGGATCTTATGTTATACGTGATCTAGCTATTTCGATTTAGGCTATTATGGGTTCCTATTCTTTAATACACAGATATAGTAAAAAAAATACTAATGAAATAAATTACAGTATTTTCATTGAGTTAGTTATCAATATCGACCAGAACAAGTATATGATACCAATATAATAGTATTGTTTAAATATTGTGCTGAATAATTGAATAATACAATACTTAAGCAATGAAATTAGACTCTACATATTATATTTGCTCGACTTAGTACTTCTTATTGACAAGTGCAAAATCTTTTTAAATTCTTAATAATATACTACGACAATATGATTTGTTGACGTCAAAATAGTATCTGTCCAACGTGCCTCTGTTTAATACTGATAGGTTAAACCAGCGAAATGAATTGGGAAACCTTAGCCTTATGCCCAACAGATTTGAAATCTTCTAAGACAGTTGAGGGATATTATACAAAGGCATGGTAAAACCCCGAGCCATCTCGACAAACTATTGATATTATTTGGTATTATATATATTGGCTATTTATATAAGTTTGGTTATAAACTGTTATAAGTCGATCAATTAGTATTTATACATGTGTGATGATTATCGTAGTATACTGCTAAGATTTAATGATTTTTTAATTCAGTAAACTTATTGGACTGCTATTTCTGATTTAATAAAATTATGTGATTTGTGAATAATGTTTTTACTTGGCCGTAATCAATTGATAATTTATATGTTTATTCTATGTCCATTATTAATATCATCGTATTAAATTCAGAATTCATTAAATACGCTATATTTTCGAAAATAGTAACTTTTGGAAATCATACTTCCAATCGTCGTACGTTTCAATCTACGATGTAACTCAACATTGTTCTGAATTGAAGAATTGTTTTAATTGAACTTTACCTCAGTTATTTTCGTTTTTACATTATATTGATCACTCTGAATCGAAATTCTGAGGTTGTATTATTTAGCTGATACATGGAAATTCAGCGAAACGATCGTATCGCTATTAAATATACGGTAGATTCAAAGAGTCCACTGTGCTTATTTTTACTTACAACTTTAATTGACTTTATTTCTTGTCCTTTACTATTATGTTTGGTTTTCATCACTTGAAAATGTAATGCAGAGCTCTGATAAGTGTCTAATATATCAATAGATAGCATGTAATGCGTTGCCGAATAAAACTTTGCATTTCGTTGATTATTTCGTCTGAGTACACTCATTGGTTATTCTATTCTTATGTCATTTTGAACTTTGTCAATTGATGAAAAGCAAGAGTCGAGAGTAGTATATTGAACTTGTCTTCTTCATCAAGAGATACATAAATCTGTTTTCAATGAGTTTATTCTGAATTTGAAAAAGCCGAAAATAAATTGATTAGATATCTGTTACTTTGGTATTTAAGAAGAAAACTTCCTTATTTTTTATTCCAACTATAATTGAGTTTAATTCAAAACTAAGTTAAATGATATAAAAAAGTGATGCTTAGCGTAGTATGTTTATTTTCCATTATTGAATGTATGTACGGTAAACTGGATGTCCAGCAATAAAAGCCAAAAATTTATCACGGCCAACTTGATCACTGTTTTCTCCAGTACTTGCAACTAAGTCTGACCATGCTGATGCTGGATCAACATTTTTAATACCATAATATTGATTTAGACGATCAAATATCAGTTTACCAAAAGCTTGTTCAATGCGATTATCACTCTTAGTCGGATTATATTGATCAATCAAATATGTGATTCGATCCAATGTCGTTGAACCACTATTTAATATAACAACAACACCAACAAATTCTTCAAAGGACAACTTGCCTGATTTATTGTAATCAAATGCATAAAATGCTCGATCACTTTCTTCTTTTGTCTGTTGACCTGGTAGCATCTCATCATATTTTTGAAAAAATAATTTATCATCCATGTCTAAACCACCCCATGCTTTATCATTTTGATATTGATAATAAAGATCTAAATATTGTTGTTTCGATAAAGTCGTGATTTTTTCCAAACGATCTAAATCCCATTCGATGAATCTTGGACGACTAACACGATTGCCCATAGCTCTAAATATGAAGTCACACTATTGCTTACTCTTTAGTTAAGCTTATTTTATACTCACGCTTGACTGATATATATCAAAGGTAAACAACTGATAGTGATGATTTAAAAGCAGTATTTGTTTTACCGTAACTCTGTTTCTTTTTATAATGGTTGATATTTCGTTAATGTAAGTCATTTTTGTTTTTTTCTTTCTTCTACTCAATTAGATTTTCGCTTAGCTATCATACCGTACAGTAATCAGAATACGTTATTGGTTTAACTATAGACTACCAAAGAGCGCCACGTGTTTACGTGTACATTATTGATATAACCTTGTATTAATGATCAATTCTTTGATTTTTTTTTCATATAATGAGAAGACTCATAGTTAATAGTCACATAAATAGCGTATTCTGATTACTGCATAACAGTATAGCTAAACGATAATGTAATTGAGTAAAAGAAAGAAAGAGAAATAAAAATGGCCTACAATAACGAAATATCTACCATTGTGAAAACAAAAAGAGTTAAAGTAAAACAAATACTGCTTGTACATCATTATCATCAGTTGTTCACTTTGAATAAATATCAATCCTATGCGACTTATGGATGAATAGTAGATGCTCATATTCTCTTCCTTATCGATTTTTATTTTCTTAGAAATAACTATTGACACTAAAAAGAATGGAATACAAATACAAATACAAATACAAATAAAATAACTAATTAAATAAAAATAGGTTAGATTAAATTGAACTTCCATCAATACACAAATAATTAATTATAAGAAAATAAATATCTACTGTTCATAAATAAATCCATATATTCTTTCTAAAAGCCTGTAGTGAATTTAAAAGCTTCTACGGATAGAGAATGCATACCATCGCATCAAACTTGGAGAAATTACATTAAAGATCAATAAAAATACATCAGCACATTAAATTTCTAAAGCATTATAAGGAAGAATACGCAATCCCAAATGGAATGTATTAAAATAATAAAATACAGATCAACAAAAATAATGGATTAATAAATAATACCGTGATAGAAATAAAAAACAATACACCTGAATGGCGATTCAAACAAGAACGATACATGACAGCTGACATGAAAACTCAAGAAAATATTTTACGTGAATACATGAAAGAAATACTTACAAATAAACACAATGAAAAAAGATTTAGTCTAGATAAATAAACATGATTGAAACAAGGAAGAAAAAATTGAAAAACAAAACATCAGAATAAATTAAATAAGTTAATAGATAAAAACTAGAATACTATCGGAAGAAAATTACCTATGCCAACAAAAATCGACTGGCAAGTGTCAAAAACAAGTGAAATATTGAATTAACACAAGAACAATTACAAGTACTATCAAAAGAATTGAGGTTTACACAAATGTCTAAGGTTTTGAATGTAGTTGACATAATAATAAATGCAGAGAAGATACATTAAATACAACGCCAACTATTACAAAATAATTAGCCATCTCTGAGATAACCACGCTCATCCAACACTGTGAAAAGCCTAAAAAGGACGCTTTGAACACCAAAGAAAGAAAAGCATTATATGAATTGAACAATAACAAAAAAATAATTATAGTTTCAGCGAACAAAGTTAAAAAAAATTTCATATGATGGTCGAAGTTTTTACTATAGTAACCACTGTTATCAACAGTTAATTCATTGCTGTTCTACTTCTTCAACATCACACACATTATCTGATTCTATTCAACAAACAGCACAATCATTAAAAAAAATCTTCGAAAAAGGCAATAATGAGTTAGTGGTGAATGACGGCAGTTACTATATTCGGAAGCTTGGTTAGGGTGCAATGAGGGTGAGTGAAACAATTATAATCTTAATATTTTACCTGTGTAACCAAGATCATCAGCTAAGTTGTAAAAATAATTCCAAGTTACTTACGACGATCGTTTTGAATAGGACTTAACCCATTCATAATTAGATCAATATGAACTTGTATGTATTCTGCATGTCGATCCTTGTCTAAAATCTGATGTCTAATGACAATTAGGTGTTTTACAGTTGAGCATGACGTCCTGATGGTCGGAAGTGGTCTCTGTTCACTGTAGCGTGGATGTTTTCAGAGAAGGTTTATGCAGATATTGTTTTGATTGGACATAGTGATTGAAGATTTACTACTTGCGCTGGCTTTGTTCATTATCGATTGTTGAACTGAAGTAGATTCATTGTTTGGATCAATGTGAAGTTTCAAAGGTCGTGTTGAGGAAAGCATATTTCATCTATAATAGATAAAGACGAAGATAGAAATGAATATTCTATGCTTTTTCATTGATAATTATTAAATATGAAGGTAAATGTATTAGAATATAAAACTTTCTTCCATTTCCTATAATATTTCTTCTGAAGATTATTGATAAATCACTAAGCTTTATCGTGTATGATTCAGATTTGAATAGTTTTTCATCTTAACATCGACTACTAATGAACTGAGGTAAGTATACCATTTTTTCCACTATTGAAGAAATTCTGCTTTCGGATGACCAAATTGTTTCTAACGTCTAGATGATTCATGGAGTACGTTTTGATGAAAATGAAGATAAACCTGTTCATTTAATCGTTTGAAAGTGGGTATGGCATTATTCAATCTAAAAAATCGACGAAACTGTTTGGAAATGAAATCCGATGAACGATTGTTTCGTAACAATAAGAGATCAATAGGAATACACTTCATATCGAAATTATGCGCAATAGAACATAGACGAACAATCCATACTAACGCATTAGATGAAATATCACAATGAATATGGTACAATATAGAGCTCAGCAGAAAGTTTATGAAAGATAGATGTTAATAAATGAACATTCTAATTTTTAACCAAGACATCTAGAAAATCAACACTTGAGTGAATCTCATAATTCATTTCTACTTTCATATCTCTCGTTTCAGCATTTTCAAGTTAAACCTTGATTTCATCAATGAATAAATTTGTAGTTATCCAAATATCATCAATATATATCTAGAAGTGAAAAAAATAATCACTGAAACAGTTGCTTTTTTTGTATAAATCTATCGTAAATAAACTAATCTATCTTTTGATGAAGAAGACAAATTCAATCTGCTAGTCTCAAATCTTGCTATTCAGCAATCGATTCCGTCGAATTTCAATAAATAATAAAATATGAAATTAATACGCCTTATATAAGTAAAAGTGAAAGAAATGCAGGACTATTTTGTCGACGCGTTTATTTTTATGTATTAAGATATTAAAATACTCACCAGGACTCTGTTTTACATATTATAAGCACGCATAACAAAAAATTTCAATGACAGCAAACAACTAAAATTGCTGGTTAAAATGGAGAAAAGAAAATACAAAAAACAGAAAATAGCTCAGATGGTACCATGTTTTTATAATTGCAATTTAATTCAGTTTTCAGTATAACAAAAAGAACGCAAAACTAATTATAATATACAATAAAATAATATTTTACGAACGAGGAAAGTTCCCCAAGTAATCAATCGCTTTTTTTGTGGAAACATACATGACTGTATGCAGTTCACTGCGCTGATTCCGAATATCAGGATCTTAGCGGCCCGTAGGACTTTCTGGATTCTGTGTCGTTACTCAGAAGTGATTCATATATTGACTAGAGACAGTCATCTAATATTTCTTTTCTTTTGTTCATCACATATTCACAAATCCATCATAACTGTGCTATATGTAGCAAAGTATATAACAATACGAAAAACAGAAAAAAAAAGTATGCTAATTTCTCAAAAGATAAAACATTGGCACTGTGGGGACATATTTCCAATACTAGCGACTAATTGAGCGAGATTATGTAATGCAATTCGTAAGCTAAAATTTTTTAATATTTTCATTTTGTGAAAAATATTAACTTCATGAGAACACTTGCACATTTAATCTTTTTCTTCGTACGATCCATTTTAGCATTGAAACTTAAGATTGAGTTGTCTATAAAAAGAAAAGTATTCGGGTGGATATTTTGTCTAGTGATACATAGTAGACAGATTAAAAGATTGAATTTCATGAGAGATTTCCTTATTAGAAGAGGGTTCAGAGTAATGACACAGAATCCAGAAAGACCTAAAGGCCGCTAAGATCCTGATATTTGGAATCAGCGCAGTGAACTGCATACGGTCATGTATGTTTCCACGAAAAAGCGATTGATCAATTGGGGGGACTTTCCTCGTGAGCTATATTATCAAGGTGAAATAACGAAAAACTTGGTCGTATTATTCAACGCAACAAAGGCTTCAATATATATATGTTTCGAATAAATCAATAAATATAGAGTTTGAATAACAGCATAATTCTAATAGATTGATGACTGTGGTTAGAACTTGAATTAGATATTAAATAATTTAGCCATATCATACGAACAAATATAAACAGATATAATGCAAACAGAAATATTTCAACACATTGATAAACATAGTTAAAATCTAAAATAAATATTTAGATGTTGATACATAGAAATAATCTGCTAGAGTAGAGATTAAAATGGACAAAACAATGGCTTCTGTTTATCATGCATTAGTAATAGTTTACATAGTCAATACCGGAGCAAAGTATTAGGACAGCATTCGTCACATAATTTACTCCCGAGTTCTTTTCAAAGTTTTTTTTGATTAAAACACAAACTATATTTGGCAAAATCATGTCATAATCAGTAACTACTCTTCATTACTGTATTGTTATCTAATCGAATACTTCTGGTAGGAAGTTCAACAATCTTTGTATCGTGATAATTTTCCACCAATCCATGAACCTAAAAAGATCAGATCATACAAAACAAGAGATTAGAATCTTACTTTTAATGTTATGTTTTTTGTTTATAAATTTTACATAAAAAAAGCATTTGGTTCTGAAACTGATGAAGAAAGTTTTTTCAATTTGGAACGTGATACGATATGTCAAAGAGAAATCATTCTCAAGATTAGGTGTTCTAGACCTACTTCAAATGCTAACGCTAAATTTTGAAAATATTTCGCTAAAGATCTTTCACTTTTCAGTGTTTCTCCTGAATTTACAAATTGCTAAGATTCTTATGACTATTTCTAAGCTTCCCGAAATACTTTCTGATAATAACAATTGTCCAAATTTAGCACATGGATTTTTTTTTATCAGAACATATCCAGAAATTACTGACATTGAAATGTAAAAATTCAACATCCGTTCTTTTTTTCATTGGTCAAGTTTCTCAAGAAGAAGCTCTTAAAAGAAGTAATATGTAGTTATCAAAACAAAAAGTATTCTTAATACTGAAAGACATTGACTGAGAATATCAAATGAATATATAGAGTCATACGTATTAAACGAAATCTTAATTCAAGTTCGAGCTGAATTATACAGATACAAAATTCTATTGCGTAATTTTTTATGATTTTCGATCTCATACAACATTGTGAAATATCACATACGGTAGAAAACTGAAAAAGAAGAGCATTATGTACAACTATTTACAATCTCTCTCCTCATTCATCAAACTCGTCAAAACACACTTAAAATTGACTTGATATGTTTTGTTTCTATCTCTACTGTTTCCTTCAGTACAGAAAGAGAAGGTTATTCTACTCATGAATAGAAAATAAAAGTCAGAAATACGAGTGCATATCAAATGATAGTTATTTTGAAGGATTTATCAATTGACATTATTACATCTATAGAAATTTTCCTTTATGTGTATGGCTATTCAAGCAAAATAAAAGTGTTGTTTATTTGGGTTAAAGACTCGATTGTTTCTCGAACAAATGGTATATTTAACAACGTTGACCAAAAATTTGAGCATTCCGCCAAAAAAAAATCATGTACGAAATATAAGTTCTAATCATCAGAAAAGATTACAACAAATATGATTCATCTATATTAAAACTTGAAATGCTATGATTTTTATTGCTAAATAAGAAGTGTACTACATCAGTTCAACTAATAATCTTCTAAGATAGATTAATTGTGTCCAACAGAAGATGCTTTAGAGTTGATACCGATCTGGTGCTGTTTGAATGAATTCATCAGAGATTTGTCGAATTGGCAAGTCATGAAGGCCATCAACAGTTGATTGTGAAATGGGGAAACCCCAGAATTTGAACAATGGAACCAAATTAAAGCCTACTTGATGCGAGAAGGTTGTGATCCAGTGATCTATCTTCTCTTGATCACTTGTCAAATTCGGTTTAGTTTCTTCATATTGACGAAAAACAGCCTTATAGCTATTCCAACCAAACTCTCGTGCTAATTGTGCGTAGATAAACAAGCTAACACCGGCAGTTGCTTTCCATTCATCGAAAGGCTTTCCTTTCTTTATACTCTCTTTCGCTTTATCTATTTTATCTTCGAGCCAAGAATGAATCCATGGCTGAATCTTACAAATAACATCCATGGCGTGTAAAGAAAAAATATTCACGGTGACTTCAACCGCAAAACTGAAAGCTAAATAAAGTCTTTTTTTTTCAAATATTTAAGGGCATGCATGTAACACTTACTCCACCAGTCGCGCTGCATATTATGACCAATTTCATGGAAAACACCCCAAAAGCCTTTCTTTTCTAAAATATCACTATTCAGTAAGAAATATTCAGATTTTGGGTCAGTTATATCCAAATGAGTGACAATCGGATAGCCAGCATCTAAAGTGAATTGATATTTTTTAGCAATCAGGAAGCTCATATAAGAATCAAGTTATTCTTACGCATGTAGCCAGTTACTGGTTGTTCATCGCATACGATGCGTTCTCGACGTACCGGTGTAGTACCTCTCAAGTCATGGTGAGTCAGTACTACAGTATCCCAAAAACGAAGAGCTCGATCTAATTGAGCACTGTTTAAATCACGTACACTTTGCGAAGGCAGATTGAAAACAATATATTGGCCAGCTATGTCTGCCCATATTCCCTGTGCGCGAACACGTAGATCGTCCCAATGTTTATCTCGATTGGGATCCATAATATCGTAGGCAGGTGTTAGAACAACATTCTTTATGCTAACACTAATGGAATTCAATTCAACAGCAGGACTCTCAAGAAAGAGAAGGCCACCAAAAGCCGAACTCATTTCGACAGTAGTAACAGACAGCAGTTTGCACGTAGAAATACATGGCCATCGGCGTAATTGGTCGCAATTCTAATTAATTACGAATACATGCTGATATGACGAACTGTTTTGTATGAATACATACTCCGAGATCATCGCTGTGACAACCAATTCGGGCGGACCATCCAGTTGCACCAACTGGTTCGGAAACGTCAATTTGTATGGTAGTACCCGGAGCCACATAGTACCCTAAAAGAAAGATAACGCCCTTGATATCGTGTTAAAATCTGTGGATAAAGAAGGATTTTGTAATCATTGTATCCCTTCATGATTTAAGTATCTTCAAACATACCTGTACAATACCATTCGTTGACTGCCTTGGACTGAATATTGACCGTGACATCTGTTTCAATCGACAGTGGATTATCAAAATCACCCGGAAATTCATTTATACCTAAGATTAACATAGACTTTACAGTGTTTCGTTAAATGTGGTCATGCTCACCAGGAGCTTTTGTATCAGATAATCCACACAAAATACCGCACAGACCGATCGACCGCTGTCGACATGATTTATTTTTAATCGGAGATGTTTTTGTTGGGATAACATCGCTTCCAGCATTCAGAACCATATTTTGTAGAGTTTCAATCGATAAATCAGGCAACGTATTGCCTAGTTCCTTAATTGCCGATCCGACGATAGCTAAATATTCGGCATTATTCGGTTCGCTCGCCAGTGCCTGAACAACATTATAAACATTTTTATATTTGACCAATTCAGGTTTAAATGGAATCGGATCGTCACAACCAGCCAAATTACCGGTCACTTTGACACCAATAGAATCACAAAAACGACCAGTTATGAAATCCGAAAGAGATTTGCCACTATTGAAGTATAGCCAACTCCAGGCACCTGCTCCACAAATCAGAGCTCCACCTTCTTTTAAAAATGCACTCTAGTAATACGAAAATATTTAACATATACTTAATGGAAAGAAAAACATGATACTATTTACCAAATCGTTCATGAATGTGTCGCTTTTAAAGTGATGCCCATTCCAAACAAGAATTGTTCCTTTTTCTTTGACACTGTCCATCGACTCTATATCATCAATCGATTCAAATTGTGCTTCTTTTTCTTGAGACAACCATCGACGACAATTTTCAATGAAACGTTGATCTTGAGGGTCGTTAGCAAGAAAAAAATCAGAATAACGTTTATTTCCAAATATCAAGCATCGACCATTGCCAACTCGAGCGGCGACAATGGCAACTTTTGTAGAGTCAGCACCACATACTACAGCGCGTGTATCGTTCGTCACCGGAATGAGAGCTTCAACAAAACGGATGTACTTGACAGATGGAACATCTTGAAATAAAATTTGAGGTACTTGATCGAATTCATCGTCGTTCATCTGCTTGTTTCGTTGTTACCTAATCGAGAAATAATAATGTACAATCAATCCATCAGTAATGTAATGTGATCATGTGCTTACCTTCGTAAGTAGTATCGATTAGAATGATTCGAATAAAAATAAGAGAAAGAACACAATTACATCTATATATATATACGATCTTGCAAAACGTATCGAGTATGATTGTCAATGCAGCCTTATATTTGTATAATCATACTAATTTGTTTTTTTGTGTTTTATTCTGGCAAAATATATAAATAGGACATAGTATAATGAATGTAAAGAAGATGAAAGTCACACTATATAGAAAGTGTATAAACTAAGAAATCCATTCAGTTATCGATATTTCACGTATTGACTTCTGTCATTTTTTTCAAGCAATAGATTGAATAGCGACACATCGAAACGATACTCTAATAAGACTCATGAGAAAACATAATTGAGTGTATCTTCTGCAAAGATGTTTAAAAATATTCTATACTATTGTGGGGCTTGATAAATATCACCAATACCAATATCTTAGCTGCTCTCGTTTAGTTTTACAAAAACAAGAGAATCAAACTTGTTCATTTTAAGCATAGTACTACTATGAAACATGTCATTTTCACTTTCATAAGAATTGAATGGATAATTCAAATTCTCATAAAAAAATCTGACCTAGTATCTATCTTGACAGTTATTCGTTAAAGGGAGTGAATGCCATTTCCGACCAATATCTATAGATGAGATGGTGAACACAGGAAATACATGTCTTAAGAAAACGCTGTCGTATTCCTGCTTTCATTTCGGGTGATATTTTGAAAAGAGAACATCAAGAAAAGTATGAGGAAAAGTTGAAAGAAGAACATAGTTTTATCGTTGATGTATTCGTTTGAAACACGTATTTTCATAGATCAGTATAAACAAATTTTAAAGATAAATTGTACGTATAGTATATGCCTTGCTGTCGACTTTGGATTTTAATTGAAAACGGAGTAACGTTTTTCTAATTTTCTCATCAAAAAATGATTCAAGTGTGACAATAGAAGCGTTGCTAGTACAGCGAATACTTTGTTGACTTCTCGAAAATGAACATGAATTTTCATTATAAGCTTTTTAATTATAGGGATATGCTGACGTCGAACCATTGATTAAATTTGATTGGCAAAAAAATATTCTTTTTTGTACAATGACTAGGTAAATTATTTTTCAACGATGAATATTATTTCTTAACGACTTTTCATAATGGGGATACGCTGGCACTGAATCATTGATTACATTTGATTGAAAAAAAATATTTTTTTGGGACAATGAGCTGGTAATTTTTTCTCTACAATGAGAATTACTTGTTTATTATATTTTAATGATCGGGATACGCTGATATTTAATGTTTCGGTGTATTTGATTGATAAAAAAGTATATTTTTTTGTACAATGAACAGGTAATTTTGTTTCTTTACAATGAGTATTACTTGTAAACGAGTTTTTGATGATAAGAATACGTTGATACTGATTCATTGGTTAGATTTGATTGAAGAAAAACATTGTTTTTTATGTGCAATGGGCAGGAATATTTTTTCTCTATCATGAGTATTACTTGTTTATTACTTTTTAATAATAGAGCTATGCTGCCATTGAAAGATTGATAAACTTTAGAGCGAATTTTTTTTATGGTGTTTATTTCTAGACGAGCAAGGATGCATAGCACCACATGTTTGTTTCATAATTGTGATATCCGCATGCAATAATTTATTGTATTGACTATTTAGATTGAAGACTAAATTTGTTGTTTAAATACTATCATCGGTTGTATATGATGCATAATTATTCTCGTTGAATTTTCAATTGAACTTTTCGATACAGCATTAAAAAAACCTCGGGAAAAGATTAAAATATTTTCATTTACGAAGCTTTATGTGACTTGATTTTGTGAACTCTTGGTAAAATCAATCACTTCATTTGGTTTTGAAAGCTGTATTCATATCATTAATTTTTTTCTAAGAGACTCTATTTTCTATTTTGTCGCGCATTGTAATCTAGGAATATGCAGTGTCAGTGTAACTGTTGAAATACTGACATCGATGTTCATTGCCACACAGAGGCACTGATTCCGGCAAAATATGCATCTTTGTCAATTTTATCGATAATCATAAACCAAAAGTAGTGAAGTGGGCAATCCCTATCGTCATCAAAAATATCATAAATTTGAATAATCTATAGTTTTGAATAATAAGACCAACTTCATAGAATTATATCACTTCTCAGTCTACTTCTAATACACGCATACTATCTTCCAATCATAAACTTATTTTCTTTCGTCATTTTGACGTGTTATGGATAACGGTTCTTGCTGCCGGAAACGTTCAAGTGTGATGCAAAGGTACTCTGTAAAAAAAACTGTTTCCTGGGAAACCCTTTAAAGGTTTCCTAGCAAGGGTTTCCGAGGTCTCACAAACTTCGAAAAATTGATTATAGCAATTTCTTGGTTGCTGATTTCAGAAGCAGATAAAAGGTTTCTGAGCTCACAAAAACCGGAAGATAATATGGAATCTGAAATTACTAGAGCGACAAGATGGATTTTGACATCCGACCGTATGTCACAGAGTCAATAAGACAAAAGATATTGTTAGTTTTCAATTGTTAAACTGCAAGTTACGATTTTGATCATATCGATTTGAGCCTAAAACATAACAAAAGAGATAATGAACTACAACATAGTCAATTATCTTTTTAAGTCAATCGTCTCTTAAATGATTTTATCATAGACAAAATCCATTCATTTGTTGAACACTTTGATAGAACTGCACTGAAAGTCAATTTTGATGAGCAATGTTAGGATCCATTTCTTTACGAACATCTTCATCAACATCTTTTCATATATCAACAGCAACAGAAAAAAGTAAAACTCATGTGGAGTCAATAAACTTTGAAGTATCAATGTAAACGTCCAGTAAATTATTATTTGCACAACAAACCAAAGACTCATGCAGTTATTCAATCAAACATTTACTGCGTACAAAACCGAACGATGTTTATGCCACATTTCGAAAAAAACAATAATTAAAGCTTTCCAAGGACAATATCTATCTATTTGTGATCATCGATTACAACACTTTCGTCTGTCTGTACTTAACTGTCATTTTTCTTTTTGTCAGAAACTTTCCTTTTATCTCTTGTTTAAGCAATCCTTTGCCTTACAAACTAAAATATCAAATTCATAGATAATTGGTATGCAATATCACGATCAAAACTACACAACAAAAACAAGCACGTTTGTAGAGAAACGGCGTATTTTCTATTTACACATCCACTTATAACAGAAATCTTTGAAATTATTGTATAAAATAATCTTCCTAGATAGATATAGTCGCATATGATTTCTTCCTAGTTTCTAAAGAATACAAAGTAATCATATATTGTTAAGTCTATTAGTTCAAAGACTCGATATGCTATAGTATAACAATAAAGATTATGATGTCATGTCTTTTGAAGAAAACCTACTTGATGATGCTCTGATAAAACAGAAATAAACACGTTATTCGTGAAACAGTCCATTTTCTATTCATATAGTCACAGCCACATCTATACCCACACTTCCCAGATATCTTTTCTCTGGCTACTGAAACAAAAAAATATTGATTAAATAACTCAAGCTATCGCCTGCCCTCTACATTTCTCTTTGTCTTTCTTGCTGTTCGAGATGAACGAGTAAAAAACGGTAATAATCTGGTGAAGAATGCGTTTCCATACGTTTGTCTGCTAGCACTATGTTCTCTAACCGCCCACTTTAACCTTATAGAAACAACGAAATAAACTAGCAGCGAAGGATGCAAGTCCAGAAGCTCCATCACAATGTCATCATGCTCATTGAATAGCAGCGCATTTATCTACGAATATAAGTGTTAGGATTTTTTGACAAAACACAAAATAAGTACTCAAAACTATTATATAGAAGTATAAATCTCGATGCCTTTCTTTCAAACTGTAATCGATCTATGTAAAACAATAACACAATTGTTTATTTCATCAGCGAAGAAAAAGATGTCGATTATTCACTTGCCTTTTTTTACTATTTTTCAGCTCTCTTCCGTACAAGGTGTGGTTATAGGTATAAAGGTTACTGAAGAGAAGATTCATACCTACACGCACACGCAACTACTCACGTTCACACTCTCAAATTGTGAATGAAAAATGATTGATTTAAAAAACTAAGGAAAATAAACTAGAATACACATAAGAAGTCCATAGTCGTTCTCTTTAGTCAAAAAAAAATAATATGAGTTTCTGATGTTTTTTCTCGTGTGTTCTTGTGTTGGAAGACGCAGTTTTCATGGGCTTTCTCTTGGCGTCATCAAAATTCTGGTGAACCTTCAATTTTATATCTCACAAGTGAAAATATTTGAAACAAATGTGAAAAAATTATTTATTTTTTGCATTAAAAAACACTTTATTAGCTCTAATGTTCCACATAATGATGCATGTGGAAGGTCGAAAGGCACATAGTCTGACAAAAGAAAAAAAAGTCCTCTTTCTTTTGGCAAGAGTCATTGCTATGTTAATGCTCGAAATAATGGTGTCATTTTGTAGTGCATTAAAAAGTACGAAAAATGACTATTTTTCTTGTAACTGTCTAAGGAGCATTATCATAGTGTACTTCATAATTTAGCGAGACATTGTCAAGTCGAGCTCATATTTTGGATTTACTACTATCTCTGTCAGGTTTTTAGTTTAAGATAATTAAATCCAAAGTCAAAACTTTTTCCTCAACTAAATGTCTAGTTTTTTGTAGGTTTTCCAGTGAATCCTGTCTTAATAGTGCAATTTTTTAATAGGAGAATGAGTACTGGTATGACACGTTATACAAAGTTAGCATTGTTTTGAATGATAATTTCTTATCAATTTTCGAACACATTCTACTTATCGTATGGATGAAAAAACCGCATAAAACACGTGAGATATTTAAACATTAATAGAAGTTATTGATTCAACAATATCGTTCTATGACCAGAAAATTTAACAAAAATACACTCGAAGAGAACGAAAAAAATACGCATCAATATGATACTAACACTCTATAGGTGAATATTGCTTATCATAAGACACTTATAATCGAAAAGATTATATCTTTACCGTATTCATATTTAACAAAACAATGAACATGACTGATTTATGTCGACTTTTTAATTCTTTCTTTTATGTAATTATTCTAGTCGATTTTTAATGCGAGCAAGATTGTTCAAATGTCAAGCAATACATTCATGTGGTTATTCTCTTAACAATGTTGATATCAATTTATATATTGTTGATGATGAAATAATACTATCTAAATATTTCATTTTTGCAGCAGCTCATTATTTTCGATGAATATTCGAACAAACTTTACCTTATAACTCTTCAGTTATAGGTATCGATTTATTATTACGTAAAACTGAGCAAACACGATTGTAAATCACAGTAAATGTGATATCCTATGTTACATTCTTCATTGGCAGCGATCAGATGAATTATCACAACATGAAAAGATTTCATATCTCGAATGTACCTAAGACAAATGACACTTGAAACAATTGACAGTACTGAATCAAAAAAAATGTAACAGTATAATAAAAATGTCCGTTTAAAAATTTGTATTGCTATTAAAAGAGAATGAAAAGATAATGTACTTTATGTATTCAAGAAATTTCATTTATTCTGATTCGATTATCAATTAGTATCATTTTAAATACTAGTGATTCTATAATGCATTTTTTTTCAAGTAGAAAACATCGTTGGCTGTTGACAAGTACTATACCATATGGTAATCGACGTAATTTACCATACTATAACCGGTATTTACATTCATATTGCCGTTTATATACTGATTAGATTAAATCCATTGTAGATAATAGCCATATTGTGACTGCCGAGGAAAGTAGTAGTGTTGTCAGTATATAAATCTAAGGGTTTTATAATCATCGCATTATTATTGATATATTTTATACTTTCGTGTTATGTGTATATATGGTTTGAAAAAAAAGAACATTCAATAACAATAGATCAAGATTTTCCGTATTTCTCGAATTTAATAGATGAAATTATAGTTTATTATATTGATAGACTTTGATCAAAAAACAACAACTAATTCCTCTATATAAAACATCTGTAATTTATTTATCATATGAGAAACTTTCATTCATAAATCATATATATTGAAATTTGTTTTTTTCTTGCGATACCTGACTAGTTATCAAAAAAAAAAGACAGAAAAAGAAAAAAAGAAAACAAGCAATTCGAAAAAAATATTAAACTGAACTACATTGTTGTTGTATTCTCTTGACTACATTCATAATCATTTGTGTGTCATGTTGAAATTTTTGTATATTTGTACAATTTTGATTACTAAACTGTTTAAGTGATCGAACAAATGATGTTAATGCATCGGATAATTGTCGTGTTAACTGAATTAATGGTGTTTGTATTTGTTGATTTTTTGTTGAATGTTGAATATATTCGTGTAATGTTTCAAGTACAAATACAAGTTTTTGTCCAGCAACTATAAGTGCTTTACCTTCATTAACTAAGAATGAAGTATTATTAATTTCATTATGTATTTGATTAAATTGTGATAAACGTGAATAACGCATAAACATTGATGATATATGTTCACGAATATGTCGATGATAACATTTTATAAGTGGATCTTTTATAGATAGTGAAGGTGAAATAGAATAATCGTCATCAATATAATCATAATCATCAGATTTATCATTATTTGATTCAGTAAGAAAATTAGAATGACATGTTTTTGACGTTGGCATTTGTGACGAACGAATATGATTTGCTATTAAGTACAAAAAAAAAGAAGATAAATGTACTTTTCATTATATCCATAAGAAAGAAATTAGACAAGAATAGAAATATATCTTAATTACAGTTTAATGAAAACATTTTTCAGTTATTCAATATTTAATAAGAATAATAGAATCAAAATAGTTACATAAGAGAATTTCTGTTACTATTGTTCAATAATTGATTTGTTTATTTAAGAAGAAGCTCTTTTGTATCCATTTAAAGAAAAAAAAACAATTAAAACTATCTTACTAGATTTATTATTTTGAAAACTTCTATAGATTTGTGTTGTTGACATAGAAGTTGTCATTTTTTTATTTTCATTTTCATTTGTCAACTCTTCAATTGGTTCAAGATTAAGTTTTTTAAATACATCTATTGGTATCGATGAAAAATTAGTGTGTTTCTGTTTAAGACGTAATTCAATAATGGGTTTTATTAACTGTATTATCTGTGTTGCTAATTGAATAATTCTTTGATTATTAGTTATACGTTCTAATTCATAAAGTAAGTTTTGTTTAACAACTTTATATGTATGTCGATCTAATAAACAACCGTAATCATAAAGAAACATTCGACATTCATGAATAAATAAACGATTTATTGAATCAATATTTGAACTTGATATAAGTTGACGATATTTATCAAGAAGTAGTGAATTAATGGATAATTTTCGAAACAAATCTTGTAATTGATCAATGTTAACTACAAAACAATAACAACAAAAAAAAACAACATGAATATTTTTTTTTCTTGAGATAACGACATGATAATCAATGATACGTGACTAATGAGAAAAATATGAACTTAACGTGCCTTATGTTCTTCTCTCTTACATCATTTATTTTTTATGTAACTTGCATTCTTACACTATATAACATCATTTTCATATAATGCCTCGAAGCAATCTATAGAGGAAAAAAAGGCCTATAAAACTGTAATGGTTCCTGTTTTTTCTTTCCAGTATAGACATAAATACAGATGCATTGTTAGCACTTTGGTTCGTAAATATATAAATATATATGCATACACACTATGGTATGTTTATTTTAATCAATGCGTGTGCGTCTACTCAATAATAATCAGCATGGCAGATGCTAATGTGTGAAGGTCATGACCGTGAAAGTTAAACTTACTTGATGATACTAAACGCATGCAATTGTTACCGTTCATAATAGATGTGTGAAATTCAGACGATAATGATGATGAGGATAGATCAGATAAACGTAGATCAACTGCAGAATAAATTCCAGATGAACGTGATGAAGATTCAGGAGAAGAATCAATTGGTGTTGGAGTGCATGAATCGGAAATAAAATCTAAATGGTATAACTTCGCATTTTTTATGTCTATCCAACAGATGTTTATATCTTGACTATGAAATTGTAATTCAAAGACAAAAAATTTATGTTGCGACAGCTGAGATTTTTTTCCCTTTATTTGACTTGCAAATTAATTCTTTTCTTTTTTCTTTTGGTTTCTTACCTGATCCTTGAGGTATATCATAATCATGATTGGATGACGATGCTGTTATTGGAATATCATAATCATTTGATAAACTATCATATATCTAATCGAATGAGATGTGTTCATTATCTCAATCTTGATTTTATTTAAACTTACTGATGCTGTTGATAGACAAGAAGAAGAACGTATTGGTTCATTAGATTTAATTGTTGATGATACTGTATTTGAGATAAGTTTTAATCGATTTCCAGGACATAAACCACATTTTCCTTTATGTTCACATAACCACCAACCATTAAGACCATTTGGATTTTCAATAAGAACAGTTAATATATCACCTTTACGAAATTCTAATTCATCTTCATCATCGACATCATTATTATAAAGTGCAATAGCCAACTGCATTTTCTAGAAATACAAAAAAAAACGAAAATGATCAATACTAATGCTTATATCTTTTGCGAGAACAGATGTGTTCATGATAACATAAGAAATATAGAACTATCCAATTTAATTATGATATCTCTTATTGTATCCTTCTGTTGTCATAAGTATGTACTCTCTAACAAATTGAATGTGACAAAAGTGTAATAAGTCTTACGAATGTTAGTCTCACATTGCTTAGACTATACATATATATTTATATGAAAATAAATCACAAATTTGTTATTCTATATATGTAAACAATAAATTAGTTTTCTTTTTCTCTCTCATTTTGCTTTTTTCCGATAGCTTTAACATCTTGCAAGTGTTTATATATTATCTTACTCAATAGAAAATATTTTAAAATGATATTTGATCTTCAAAGATAATCGATGAAGGACATCCTATCATGATTTCGTGGTTTAAGAAAAAGAGAAATAGAAGAAAAGAATGAAACTATTTAGAATAGTGTATAGTAAATTTATGTGGTCGTTACCGATCAGAATAGAGAATAGTGCTGGTTATGTAAATTTCATTATGTGCAAAACGGCAAGGCTATTTTCTCGTTTTTCTTAATTCTCTGAAGAAGAGTTGTTCCGATTAACATTGTCATTGTGTCCAGGTTTATAAAGAGAGAAGAAAAGGAGATCGATAAAAAAAAAGAAGAAAAATTGACTCACCGACTGTTAATATCGTAGCAATAATTCGAACAATAACTTTCTATGTAACATATACATACATATATGCAAGGGTGAAATCGGTGTCTCGATTAGAGCGAGAGGAGAAAAAAAAGTCGATAGCGCTATGGCCACCATCTATTCCGTTCTGCCATCACTCTCTTCATTCTCCCGTTCTCTGTACACAGAAAGCAAGACGTTTACGCATACAGGACACAGAATAATATCATCACTACCATATAAGCGAGAGAGTGGCGAGCCACAATAGCCTATCGTTTAGGTATTATATACATGTATGGCGGAAGCCTCAGTTTGTTTTTGTTCGTGCACGTCTTTACTAATCGTTTATTATAATCTGAACTCCGCCTTTTACGATTAACCTTCACTTGATTTTATCGTCAATGAATGATGATGCAATATCTAGTTTCTCCGAGAATAAGAGGGATAGAGAGAGAGAGAGAGAGAGAGAGAGGGAGTGGCAAACGAGAGATTCAATCAACACAATGTGCAGACGACAAAAGATGAAGAGTAGAGCTTGTTAAATAAACATATAATGAAGAATAAGGCGTTCCATATTAATCTGTCTCTAAACAGATCAACTGCCGGCTACGAAATGATGCTGGCTACGATTAGTAGTAATATATGCTTGCTCAGCAGGCATAATGATTACATAAGAAGCACTTAAAAAATTTTCGTTATTATAGGTTGACAAACAGAAAACATTCTTGAGAAAAAAAAAATCTTCATTTCTTCTTTCGAAGAAGGTTGAAATCACACATACATGTGTATGTACGTACATTTCAAGTGTCAGGTATCTATAAAAGACATACAAATATAAGCGATAGAGAGAAAGAAAAAGATGAAACATCAATTTAAGTAAAAATCAATTTTATAGTAACCTTGTATTACAATGCAACATCAAAAGAAATTATACAGAAAGACTAATTGTGTTTTTATAAACGACTAAACAAAACGATACTGTTTTTCTTTTCTTCTTTAACTATCTTTTATGGTAGAAATTTATAGTTATTATATGTTCAATACACAAATCTTTGTAAATTGTGCATGTAATACAACATGTTATGACATTGGTGAAACCATCCTTGGATATTCTTGTACAAATATATCCTTGACAATGATACTGAGATGTGTGACCCTCAATTTGTCTTTAATAAGTAAGCAAAAATAACGCATGAAATTGGCAATTTGTCAGTTTCTTATTTATTTCTATTACCTTATACCATTTGTATAACCAAAGGTCAATTGATGCAAACACTTTGTGTATGACACCCGATCAACCGACTAACTACGAAGATAAGAAATACAACATTATATTCTCTTATCATCGGATACAACATAGTCTATGGTGTACAATAATAGGGAACCATAAAATATGCTTTCAAGTGTTGACTGGCATGTGACCTTCAATCAATCATCATTGTTGTCCAAATGTTTGAATTAGAAAGAAAGAAAAAAATACGTAGTTATAAACATATTTTTAAAAAAATGTCCCATTGATAATCAGATCAATGAATCATTAACATATTCTTTCTATAATTGTACCATAGTTGATATTAATCGTACGGGATTATCTTAAGAGAGTATTCGAATAGAATATTTGCACATTGTTGCTTTTGTTTAATCCTTTAAAACGTCAAACTTAATCAATAATGTAAAATGTTACCAAGGATTCAAATACGTGATTATGTACGTTTCGTTAAAAATAAAAATACAAAATAAATAGCCGATGACCAAATTATTTTATTGATATACAAAAAGATTACATTTTTCACTTGTACAAGATAAGAAATCTTATAGAAAAAAATTGATCTAATATCAACATCATTTGATTATCATATCGACTAATTTCATATTCAAGTATGATTATATAGGCTCATAGAAACAAAAAAATTGTCATAGATATAAAATAATGAAATTAAAGATCTTTGTAATATAATAGTATACAATATTCTAGGAAAATAGAATTAAATTTTTTTCAAGACAAGCAATAAAAAGCATTATATGTAACTAATAGAGTTATAAATAATATGAATTTTTCATACACTTGTTAATCTATATATAATATTATTAATTACATTCCAGAAAAAAAACGTAAACGATAATCTATCAAATTCTTTGATTGTAAATTTTTGTTTGTCAATATGTCTATTGAGCAGTAGACTATCAAACTAGGTGATATGTACATTGATGAAAAGTTTAAAAGAATTGAATATCACAAATCATTCTTCAGTGATCTATATTCTTATATTAATATTGTTTAGCATCACTTGACTCTTTTCTATTTTACTGGTTCGAGCATAAATCGTATTGAACAGAAGGTCGATTTACTACTGCATTCTGTGATTAATGTGATGACTACATAGACATTGCACGAATATTATTATTATTATTATACTAACAATATCTAATACAATAAAATGATGATTGAATTCATCCGATTGCCTGCAAATTAATGTTAGAGGATGTTATCTATATGTGATTCGATTAGTTATCCTGTATGTAAAAACTAAATAAGAGTACCATAAGGGTTATTTTTTAGTTCTATTATTAAGTAAAGGTCAGGATAAAAAATAATTTTGAAGAGACTCTACTTTATCAATGGTTGATTTTATAAAATGTTTGTTTTTTTTGAAGATATTCAAGGACGATGCCTTCAGAGAAGGTTAAACATAGTTCAAAAAGTAACATTATATCACTCATTTTATAGTACCATAATACAAAGATGATTTATTAACCGATTATTAAGGTATAGTTTGGAAAAATCAAGTGTCATTATCCACAAGCAAATGTATACATATTCTTTTCTGGCATGTCAAAAATTGATGGCATATTTTCATTTATAGTTAACACTGATAGTAGTCAAGGCTTGCATGAATATCTATATGTATGGATAACATAGAGCTTTTTGTCGTAATTAGTTATATGACTAATGTGTATTAATGTTAAACTGTGACATGGATAAAAAAAAATGTTTCCTTGATATAATGGACATTTTTTCCTTGGAGATTTTTTTGTCATTATTGACGTTGAGTTCCATTAAAATTATCTTTGAAAATCAAAATCATTGGAATAGTAGTCCTCCTGTAAAATACGATATTCATCAGAATTTGGTCTGTACGAAATAGTATATTATTCAATATTAACAAACATATTTTAAACATCAAGTCTGTGCAACCGATGAAACCATCAAACTCTTACACTATCACAATATATCATCCACTCATTATTAATTAATTTATGAATAATAAGATGTGTATAAAACATCTTTGTACAACATCTCTAATCAATTTTTGTCTAATTATCAGTTAAAAGAGAAAATCAAAAGTAATCAGCTACAATCACAATTTTCATCTAACTTAAAGTTAATTCATGGAGAACAAACCTTTGACGAAGGTTAAAAACGACGCTTATATAAAATTTTTCATGAAGTTAAGTTTTATATTTTGATATAAACTATCTCAAACTAAACTATAAGGAAGTACTATTTTCATACATGAAGTTTTAGATCGTGACTTGTTCTACAAAATACTAAATTCGTTTCTCTTCTTAGATATGACTATGAATGATCGAAATCTATTACATTCCAAACAGCAAAATGAGAAAGAAGTATGTTATTTTGAAAAATGCTGTCTAACGTAAAGAATAATTGTGAGAAAAACGTATGTACAGTTTACTTCTTGTTAGGTTCTAGCGTACTGTAATATATGATTTAGTAGAAAATTAAATGTTGTTCAGCACTCGTAAGTCAAAACTATTTTAAAATTTCATTGAAAAATTTTATCAATAATAGAGGAAAATCTACTTTACTTAGTACAAACGACATTTTTAACGTATGTAAATATTTGCTTACCACTAATCAATTATAAGGCACTAAAAAATTCTGAACATCCATACGAAAAAAGTATCAAAGACTGGTTCCAGCTAACTGCTTTTGAACTTCTTCAATGATATGAAATGTCTCTAAAAACAAAGAATAAACATACCTACCAATACTGGTTAAATTAGTGTTTTTTTTCTACAAAAGTCGGTTATAGCCGCCATCAAAGATTTGTTATCATTAAACTAACTTTAAGTCATCACTTTAGTGATTTCTGAGTAGATAGAAATTGAGTAGACATGTGGTGCAAAGACTTTATATAAATAGTTTAGATTAAATATGTAGAGAAAACAAATGTTAATAGATACTGAATCTTTAGTAAGTGTTTTATTGAACGAATTGTACACACTATAATATATTTGTCTGATAAATACTTGATCTTTTCACATGAATTTTTATTTGATTCATACAGAATATGTCAGATCAATAAAACTAAACTAATATATTATTTGATAATGTTTATGCAACTTTAATTTTATTTTTTAATTGATCCTTCGAATTTTACAAAAATATAATGGACCAAAATTATTTGAAATATGCGGTAAAACAAGACTACCATAACGTGTTTTAGCATGAAAATCAAAAAAATAAGAATAATGTTTTTCTAATGATTGTGTTGAAATAATTTCACATTTGATTGAATCGTTTTCTTTATATCCGCGAGATCTTTTATTTGATGTTGTTGATGATAAATTTTCAATAGCTCGTTCAACTACACCTTCATTTTGAACCGGAGCTAATGTACATGTTGAATAAACAACAATACCACCTGGTTTACATGCTCGAATAGCAGATCTTTAATCAGAAATATTTTTTATTTAAAATTTATTTGAATCTTGAACAAAAGAAAACATACTCAAGTAATTTTCGTTGATATGCAGGTAATTCAACACGTTCGTGAATACGTTTTTTTGAGAATATATTAAATGCTGTTAGTAGAGCATGACGATCACTTGTACATGGAACATCAACAAGTACCTAGATAAGCATTCATAATGAACAAATATAATAATCTTTAAATATCGTACTCGATCAAAACTTGCTGGTTCTCTTGCACCAAATAAACATCCATCTCCTTTAATAAATTTAATATGTTTAGCTAATATATCTTTTGGTATTGTTTGAGTAAAAACTTCTACTAAACGTTTCGAACGTGAATTATCAATATCATTACATGTTAATTGAACTATTTCGGAAAGAAAATATTTTACAAAAGAAAAAAATAGAAATCGAATTGATTTACTATAAGGACACATGTGAAAAATATTTAAAGCTTTTCCACCTGGTGCAGAACATAAATCAAGTACAGAATGAAATGGTTGAACGTCAAGTGCAATAACAGGAAGAACACAAGCTCCATCCATACAGTAATAATCTAAACTAAACAGAAGACGAATATAAATAATCTGAATTTTTTTTTGAAAAATACAAACAAAAATAAAACGATTTTTACCCAATAAACCTAATTCATCAGTTTTAGCTGGTTCAAATCTTGACATATTACTACGTGGAAAAGTATAAACATGCCATGATGGAGGAATTTTTCTATAATCCCGTTCTTTATCATCATCAACAATCGAAACCACATTTCCTTTTATAACTGATTGAGCCTAATAGGAAAAAAAACAAAACAAATAGCATTTTGATTGTTCAACAATTCGAGCTCTCGGCCTAGAACCATTTACATCTCTAATAAGTTCGTTCCATTGAAAGCTACAGGCCAAATTCCATCACTCAAATCATTTCTTTTACATTTGCCTTAAACTAACTACAGTTAATATTCAATTATCGTTTTAATTGTTCTACTAATATAAAATAGATGCGTTTGCGAGTATGAATTGGTAAAAATTTCTCAAAATATATTTAACATTTTCATATTTTTCTGAAGATTTAGCAGTTACGGTTCTACCTGATATTTTGGGAACAAAAGCGAAACAGTTTTTTTCTCAGTTTTTATTAACCAGAACCACCGAACTCTAACTATTCTACTCACAACCTTCACAGTTTGAATGTCATCTTAAAGCATATGCAGATAGTAATCTTACTGATATGGCAGTTTCTATCAAGTGCAGATAATGTACGAAAATAAAACACATTATTAAGTAATCAAGTTTTTTTCATGCTATAATCTTGTGGGCTATTGCTCATACTTTTGTTTCTTATTTAAGTAAGTCTCAGATGATCAGTCAATTAGTAAAAATCTTATTAGTATCACTTCAGAAATTAATTACAGAAGAATTCGAAAAATTTCTTATGGGACGAATTGTTAACCATGACAAATGATCCCAATCAAGGGTGTTCGTTCAAAATGTAACCTGTTGTTCAAGTGCTTGTTTATAAAGTTCATCAAGTCGTTTGACAGGTTCTGGTTGATTAAATGTATTCATGTCATCATCTTCATTAATTTCTTCTTCTTCTTCTTCTTCTTCGTGATTCATTTCTTCTTGTTCATCAATTAAATCACTTGTACCTAATAATTTTCGATTTTCTTTTTGTTCAAGTAACTTTTTTATTCCATATTCACTATCACTTTTTGAAATTTGTTCTTGAATCAATTTAAACTCTTCACGTAATTTTTCATTATCAAATCTTAACATATCAATAGAACCTTGTTCAATTAATTTTTGCTTAATATTTTTATTTGAAAGTGAATATGGATTAAGTAATGCAACTGGTTTAGGTAAACTAAGTAAAGCAAGACGTATAGATGGCCAATGACGATGAAATATTAATGGATAAGCAAAATCAAAATATTCTAAAGCAAGTTCATTTGAATGTGAACCATGATGTGATGAAAACATCTTGAATAGGAAAAAAAAGCGACTTTTGATATATCAAAATATTTCATTCAATAGTACCCATTTCTTTTTAAATGGTCTTGCATAACGTACAAATGATAAAGTTATTTGAATTGAACGTTTTTGAAATAGATCAATCAATTGTTTTTGATAAATCATCTGCAAAGAATTCATGACTCGCCTTGATTTTTTTGCCAGCTTTTATACTGATTAAAAAAATAAATAAATGTTCACAAAAAAAAACAAACAAACCAAAAACAACTATTCGATATACGAAGAAATTAACCTATTATATAAGGAAAGACAATTCTTTTTTGATTACTGTTTTTCATTTGAAAGAGTTTTTAAAACTGTTTCATAAACTGAATATGATATGGAAACAGCTGGAACTACTTTTAATAGATTAGGTATTAAACCACGATAGAAACCAACAAGTCCTTCATTATGCCAAATTTCTTTTATCACTGTTGGAACAGGTAATAATGGATGGGCTTTACTTTGATCCATATGTGGTAATGGAACAATTTGTCCTTGACGACGTATTCTTAATAGAGATATGGGATAAGTTACCATTTGACCAGTAAATGATGAGATAGCACCACAACTAAGAACTATATATATCGGCGGTTCACAATTATCATGTTTAGTTACATAGAGACGTTTAAGACTCTAAATATTCACACAAAAATTTTTAGAAAACATGAAATATTGATAAAATCACTTCATAACATGCTAAATCAAAGCCAGCATAAGGCACTATACCAATTTGATTGAGAACATAACCACGCCAAAAAGCTTTTGAACCTTCGAATCTGTAAATGCGTTGAATAGCATCTGCCCAATTGGAAAATTCACCTGTTCGCCTTAGACATAGTCTTACTTTTAAGACCTAAATTTCGAAAATAAGAAAAAAAAATACAAAACAAAAGAAAAATACTTACATCTAATGGATAAACAGCAGTTTGAGAAAGAGCGCCAGCAAAAGCTCCTGATATAAATCTTTCCAAAATTGTTGTTTCTGTTGTTAGATCTTTATTTTGAAATCTTTTTACAACTTTTTTTGTCTATAAAAAAAAGTCTATTAATCGATTATAATAAAAAAAAATCAATATTATAGAAAACTATGTTACTTCTTCGAAAAATGCAAATCGAAGTGCTGTTTCAGGTATAATTTTGAGAACATTCATTCCATTGCCGCGCCATAAACTTCTAAAACCACCTTCATTGATTAAATATCGATAACTATTTATCACAGACATGCGTTGTCTTGAACCCAAATACTAAGAAACCTAACAATATTCACCGATCTTGTATAATCATAGCGGGTGAAATAGGTAGTGCGTGTGAAATATTTTTAAGCCACATACCTGCATGATGATTTTCAGTCGATCAAATGGAGCAGTAGCTGTTCGTGATACAGCACCAGCACAGCCGCCGGATACAAGATGTTTCCACCAATGTTTATTCTCGGTTTCTTCATCTTCCGGTGCAGCATATGATGATTCACCCAAGTCAAGATGCTAATAGAATAAATAGAGAGAAGAATAGAATAAGTCGTTTCCTTATTTGTCGAAAAGATTCAATAACAAACTGTTGCTCCACGCCAATATCTCAGCATTTCATTTGGATCGCCAGTAATACTTTCAAGTATTGCAGGGTTAACCATGAAAAAAGAACGCCATTCGTCATAAGAAATTTCTAAAGAATTGTTTTGATCCATTCTAAACAAAAGACTCAATTTATCTTAGAAAAAATCTCAAAACTATTTCTATTTACTTTCCGACTAATCTACTTGCTTCTTCTAAATCAAGATTAATACCAAGTTTTTGAAAATAAAAAACTAAATCTTTTGCATCAAATCTTCCTAAATATAAAACAAAATTTCATAATCAATAAAAAAATCTTTCTTTTTCTTTTGTTTTTATTTTTCATTTTCTTCATTACATACCCTGATGACTGGCATCTAATTTTCTGAAAACGAGACAAAGTTTTTTTTCTTGTTTTAAAACATAATTAGCAAATTGTTTAAATGAAAGAGAAGATGCTGTTGGTGATCCACCAGCCTGATCAATAATCCGCTATGAATAAAAAGTAAAATTGAAATTACTTTATCCAATTAGAAAAATAAAGAAGAAATAACTTACACGTGCAATAGCCCAACGGTTTTTTGCTGAAGTTTCAACACCAACTTGTTCTAATAATTTAATTAGTTCATCAACTTCAATTCGCCCGTCTTGATTTTTATCAAGATGACGAAAAAGTTCTTTATAAGAAAGATGACTTTCATTTAACTGATAATGAATATTTGCATCTTTTATTAGATCAGGAGAAGGATCGTTCATCGCAATGGATTATTTTTTACATCAATAACATGTTGTTTGTCTGAAGTGGAAATGAAATTAAGAAGAGAAAAAAAAAACAAATTTGATTCTTTTTATTTTCTTGATCTTTCAATTCTTTTTTTTTTTTTGTTTATTATATAACGCGCATATAAATACACACAAAAAAACAATGTGAATTTAATGATCATAAAAACAAGTGCACGTTATAGATTTACGCTTCATCGACGGTTACTTTTTCGCTGACATAGATACCATCAAGAAATTTACGAATATCTTTATTTTTAACTGCTGTTGACATTTGAATAAGTGCAGCTAAAAATAGTTTTAAATAAGAATAAAACAATTTAAATTTAGAGAAAACAAAAAACAAAACAAAATTGTATTTACCTGATCGTGATACAAGTTCAAGGTCATTGCCTTCTAAAATAAGTTCATCTTTTTGTTTTGTACTAGCAGATACTTTAACACCTGGTTGCATTTTAACACGACGAACAAATTTTTCACCTAAAAAGTTACGAATTTCAACTGCTTGACCATTGTCGGTAACAACAGTATTGATTGGAAAGTGAGCGTATACTGAACGCATCTTGTAACAATAACCCTAAAAATAAAAAAAATAAAAATTATTGATTTTTTTTTATTGAAAAATATGTGACTGTAAACTTTTAATATCGTAGATCTAATCTTTTGCATCTAAGTCTAAGCATATTTTGATCAATCTTTTAAGGATCTAGTTCATTCTTTCAAAAAGAAGAAATCATGTTTTAAAACTAACCTTTGTAACACCTTTCATCATATTGTTAATATGCGAACAAATAGTACGCACAACAGCATTTTCCTTATTTGTACCGAACCATTTTTCAACAACAAGTAAATTCTTTTTTGGCATTGATATATCAACACGAGCATGACGAAAACTTCGTACAAGTTTGCCTCGTTTGCCTTCTACTTGAACAACACGACTTTTTACACTGACTTTAACTAAATTTTGAAGAAAACAAAAACACGAAAATGAACGTTTTCTTTTAAATAACGAAAGAAAATACCGTCATCTGGTATAGTGAGTTGTTCACGAGCTTTGATGGGACGCATGATCGAATAATATCGAGATGGAAATGAAAATCGATCTAGAAAAAAACATCATGTTTCATCAAGTACGCTTCGTTATACTAATAAGCGAACTGAAATCTATGATTGGCTCACTATGGTAAAATATGGAATGAGTTCATTTGAATCTTTTTCTTAAATAATAAATAAAACTTAATTATTATATTTCAAACGAAAAATTATTTATTTTCTTTATCTTATTCGATTAATATATTTAAATATCACTTAAATGCATTAATGTGATGTTTGATTCAAATGAGTCACATAGATGTAGTTGCCAAGCAACTCACAAACTTAATGCTCTGTCAATTGGAAGAAGTTTCTTTTTTTTTTTTATTCTTTATTTATTTTGTTTAGTTTTAACTAAGTAAAACTGAACAATGACATCAACTTATCGTCCAAATGAATCAAAACGTGAAGAATTTCGTCGTTATCTTGAAAAGGGTGGTGTTGTTGATGCTATTACACGTGTGTTTATTCGTTAATTTTGTACATATTGTTCTAATTTTCTATTATTCTTCTAGGAGCTTTAGTTGCTCTATATGAAGAAGCTGAAAAACCAAATAATGCAACAGAATTTGTTCGACGATTTATGGGCGCAAGTGGACCTGATTCAGCTGAAATAGAAACATTAAAAACTGAAATAATGGCTACGCGTGAAAAACTTGATGATTTAGTACGAGAAAATGAAATATTAAAAGAAAAATTACAAAAATATGAAAATGGAGAACGTGGACAATAAAAGTGAAAGAAAAAAAGATACTTTTTCTCTCAAATATAATTTTAATCCAAGTTTTTTTTTTCTTTAATCATACTTTTTCTTCTCTTTTTTTTTTGAAATAAACTTGTAGATGAAATGAAAATGCTTGCTAGCGAATCCGAATTTCGTGTTAAAGTAGCTGTTCGTGTAAGTTACATCAGCTTGAATTCTTTTAAATCTATTTGTTTTTTTTTTTCAAAAACAAAAATTCATGTTTAGGTTCGACCATTTTTACAACGAGAAAAAACACATGAACAAAAAAGTTGTATTGCTATTCATCCACAAACTAATCAAATTGTACTAGGAGATAGACGAACATTTAAATATGATTTTGTTTTTGGACCAAAAACTTTACAGGTAAGCAGAGACTTAAACGTGAACTTCTAGCATTAACCAAAGTTTCTCTTTATTTAAATATATTTTATTGATGTATTTATCTTGAAAGCAGTTTAAAACAGTGTTAGTTTCTAAGAAGATACTAGTTCACCGCGTCATGATGATCTGTTCATGTCTCGAGGTGACATGTGCCTTCGGTACGATTCACTTTCAACTGAATAGAATGAAAAGAAAAACGGAAACTGATCAAGTCAAGTGAAATCCGACTTGACTGACTCAACTCTCTTTTGAAAAAGCGTAAAATTGAAAACAGAAAGTATTACGAACAAAAAAAAAACAGTTTTTCTGCTACGAAACAGAATAAATCTTAAGACTTCTGCAGCTTTCTATATCTCTCTTGATTTGACTATTCAAGAAAAATCATGAGAGTTCACTCTTTCAAAATAATTATTTCAAGTTATATTACTCTCGAAATAAATGTGTCTATTGTGTTCAAAAAAAGAAATAAGTGAATATATCACTATTCAGACTTACACTTTGTTTATCTTTCTGTTATAGGAAGAATTATATCGAACAAGTGTTGAACCAATGCTTAATAATGTTTTTGATGGATATAATGTTACAATATTTGCTTACGGTCAAACTGTAACAGAATACATTTTTTATGAATTATCTATTGAATTATTTGTTTATAAAAATTAGGGTTCAGGAAAAACATATACTATGTCAGGTGGAAATATTTTATCAATCGGAGAAAAAGATTATGGTATTATTCCACGAGCAGTTAAAACAATATTTGATACTGTTCAAGTTAGTAAATATAATTTAAAAGAACTACAACAATTAACATAGATACTTTATTTTAGAATCGACAAGATTGTCGAATTACAATATCTGCATCTTATTTAGAAATCTATAAAGATGATATTATTGATTTACTTGATGTTAATGATAAAGATTTAGATGTTCGCGATGATGCAGCTGGAAATACAGGTAAATATAATCTTATCTTGATGTTGTGTTTTTTTTCTCAAGACAATTATATTTAATTAAGTATGTTTTTAGTTGTTATCGGAGCAAGTGAACATACATGTCATTCAGTTGATGATGTTGTTAGTTTATTAAAAAAAGGTTCTAATGTTAGACATACTGGTGCAACACAAATGAATGATGAATCATCAAGATCACATGCTATTTTTACTTTATATATTGGTATAAATTTTATTCAATAATAGTTTTATGTATAATTTAATTTTTTTTTTTGTTTAGAACAACGTCTTCATGATAAAAATTCTAATTCAAATACTGTGCAAGCTTCATTTGATGGCTTCGTTAAACCATTACAATCAACATTTGATGGTAAAAAATCCGACAAAAAAAAAAAATCTTAGATCATTCTTTTATACTCTTTTCTTTTTCGTAGAAAGTTATCTTTCTGCTAAACTGCATTTTGTTGATTTGGCTGGTTCAGAACGTGTTGCACGTACACAAAATACAGGTGAACGTTTTCAAGAATCAATACGTATTAATTCGGGTTTATTGGCTCTGGGAAATGTTGTCAGTGCTTTATCTGATCCAAAAAAACGTACCGGTGGTCACATACCTTATCGTGATTCAAAAATAACTCGTTTACTCAAAGATTCACTTGGTGGAAATGCTAAAACATTAATGATTACATGTAAAAAAAAAACGTCATTTCATTTAATCATTATTATATTACTTTTTCAGGTGTTAGCCCATGTACTGCTGATCTTGATGAATCTCTTAATGCATTTAAATATGCACATCGAGTATGATCAAAAATAATTAATTTGAATTGACATTTTTTTTTTGTTTTCTTAGGCAAGTCAAATTCGAAATAAACCTATAAAAAATGTCGATCCAAATGCTCAACGTTTTATTGAAATGCAAAGTGAAATTACTGTAAATAAATTTTAATAAAATATTTCAATTGAAAATTTTTTCTTTAAATATTTTATAGCATTTACGAGAAGAATTAGAACGACAACGAACTATCATATCACGTGATGGAGAACCAAATAATAGTCGACGATCAACGTAAAAAAAACAAGAATAATATTTTTGAATTTTTAATTAATAAAAACAAAGTAATCATTTTTTTTATTTAGTGGATTCAATAGTATTGATAGTTCACGTCGTTTAATACAAACAGCCTATGTTTGTTTTCAACATTTAAATGAATGTGAAGATTTAAATGATGAACAAAAACAATGGATACAAACATGGATGGATGCTGTATCAAATGTAAGATTTTTTAACAAAAATTTTGTTTTTTATTAATTTAATTTTTATAGGAAAATGCTGAACATATATGCAATGATATACTTACATCTCGAGTAACGAATTTAGAAAATGCTTTACATTCGGTAAAGATTAAATAAATAAATGCCAGAAACAATTTCATTTTTCTCAAAGATATGATAGATGAAAACTTGAGAGTTGCATTATTTGACAGTCCACTACGAGCTGCAAATTAGTGTAACGATTTTTATTGAGGAAAAGGTTAATTCAAAACAATTAGGAAAAAAAATTAACCTTTCTTTTTTGCTACTATCTTCTGTTGAACGGCTATTGTATTCTTGTCTTGGCATTCATGTGAAAGATTGTTTGAGAGACAAACAATTATTCCTTTAAGAAAAGTTACAGATCTATCAATTAGCCGGAATGATAGAGGTGCTGTTCTTCAGATTGTCCAACTATTTGTTGTTAGTAGCTAGTTGATTCTCTTTCTGATTTGAAAGTGCTAGATAAATTTATTGCTTGTTTTTTCAGACATTCTGATTTTAAATTTAAAAATGTAAATTGTAAATTTCATTAAAAAATCAAAACCAAAATACTACGAATGCCAAGCTCTATTTTATTGGTAAAAACAGTAAAGATCATTCCTTACAGTTCATCCATTAATTGTTCGTTAATAGAATTTTAAGTGTTTTAATTAAAATTATTAAATAGCATATGATCTGTTCTAGAAAGATAGAAGCCAATTTACGATTACGCTATTGATTAGTATCGAATGGTAAACTTTAAAGATCAGTTATAGCAACCGAAGAGAGTTTCAAATAATCAAAATATCGATTAGGTATTGTTTAAATAATCACATGTCAGATATATATGATGAGAGAAGTAGGTTCATCAGAATAGTAATAAACAAAATCATGAGACTACGAATCAATATTTCTACATGAACTAGAAAGTTGTATTAAATATTATGTTGAATGAAGTAATTTTACACTAGTAAAAACATGAAGCGTGTAAAATTACGTAAGTAATAAGTTTCTATTGCAACTCGAAATATAATTTAGGAAAAAGCGATTGCTATGCTTTATACTGCTGGTACATCACTCGTGTAAATGATTAATAAATATTTTATTTTCTAGGCAAAAGATGAATTAAGATCAGAAACACAAATGCGTGCTAAACGTGAAATGATACTTGATCGTTTACAAGAACAACTTAAAGCTAAAGTAATAAATAAATATATTTATAAAAAAAAAACAACAGAATAGAAATTCTTTCGATTTTTTTCAAAAGGAAGATGAATTAAATCGAGTACGTATAGCATCAGATGGATTAAATTATCAAATAACAACAACCAAAAAATCTTTGCCGGATCGAACAAAATCAGCACCACATTTTGGTAGTGTTCATAGAAAGGTAAATAAAATTCATGAGTACTCATTCAGGTGAAAACCAATTCTTTTTCAGTTACTTCTCAAACAATATCTGCAAGTATATAGAAGTTGCTTTCCTACTAGAAATCATTTTTTTTTTCACCTGATATTGCACTGAAAGAAAACAAAAAACATATAATGACTAGCACATAACACTTTTGTATTTTTGTTCTTTTTTTTTTATTTCATAGGAACAATCAATTCAACCACGTACTATACATTCTAGTCCAGCCGTATTTGATATGGATTATGTTGTTGAAAGATTTCATGGACGATCACTTGCCTTAGCTCATTCACAAGAAGAAATTGAAGAATTAGATTTAAGAAATAGTGATGAAAAATTAAACGATGAAAGGTAATTAAATTAAAGAAATAAACGAAAACAAAATTTTAAGTGTTCTGTTTGGAAAAAAAACAGGGAAATTTTCAATTAAATACATTTTCATAGATAACTTATTATTGTTTCGCAATAACCGAACATTTATTTTCAAGATACACTGTTAGTTGTATCACTTGTTTGTTTTTAATAAAACATTATTGCGAATATTAAAAAAGAATTGACTTTATTCCGATTCATTGATCACTAGAATAGGTCTCTGTAAGATATGCTTACCCATAAATAGTACTCCTATATAAGTGATCTACAAGCGAAAAAATGTTGGAATTATTATTTTTTTGAGATTTATGAGTATTAGTAAACTATGTGAACAATTACAAATACCACAATAATGTATGTAAAAATCTATGAAAACCGATCATTCAATTATTGCTCTGAGCAATGGTGCTTCAAACTGTATGTTCTTTTAATGATAAACATTTTCAAACGTAAAAAATCATGATTTTTTTTTTGAAAGTATTCATTTTCAAGAAAAAATAGTGTCATTAGCATAATTGTTCAGATAATCAATCAAATCAATGATGTTCGTAGCCTTTCATGACTATCCTTCTGGGTATTTCTCGGTATTAAAATTAATTGAACGATCAAAATCTCTTTGGATATTTAACTGAATCCGATGTTTATGTGTATAACTCAGGGAGCTCTATGTGTAGGTAAGATCAGACCTATGTTTTCTTTCCTTGAGCTATGTTCGGATAGTTTATTAATACTCAAGATTTATTGCAATGATACGAGCTCTTAAACATAATTTTCAGTTATATGTCAGTCTAATCTAACGAGAATCGAACTTTAGAGGTATGATTTCTCACATTATATTACATACATTTCTATCTATTGTCATTTATGATGTGAAAGAAAAAGTATCGTAAAATGATCTACTATTTGTAATTTATTCGTATGTATAATAACATATTAAAATAAAAAATCTTCTTGTTTAAAATAAATGCAGATCTAATATATATTACATTTTAATATTTAAAATGATGGCTTCTTTTTTTCTCTTAACTAGAAAATTTGTTCGACGTGGTACATATCGTCTTCGTAAGAATCGATTAACACCAAGTATTTTTCAACAAGATGAAGCATTACAAACATTAACAGAATCAACAATAAATAAACAAAGATTAATTGACGAAGCAACACGAAAAGTTAGAGAAGCTGAAAGTAAAGCACAAGATCTCAGTATTAATATTCAGTAAGCATATTTTTCTTTTATTGAATAATTTTTCTTTTTTTCATTCCAATATTGATTAGATTAAAAGAACAATTGATTAAAAGTGTTTATGCATCAACTAAAGATGTCAAAGAAACAAATGAACAATATGAACAACATATTAAAATGTTAGAAAAAGTGAGTATTTGGAAAAAAAATGAAAAATAAAAATTTTTCTAATTTATTCTGTAGGAAGTAGAAAAAGCTAAAAATGAATATCATGATTTACAAAAAACAATGCAACAAATAGCAACGAAAAATACAAGTGAAAAATCTAAATTAGAAAGGTATTCAATAATAATATAATGATTTTGAATATAATATTATATAAATAATTTCACTATAGTGAATATCGAAAAAAATGTGATATGGCTAAAGCTCGTCTTGAATCATTACAACAAAAAGAAAAACAATATCGAGAAGTCATGAATAAACTATCAGGCAATAGTGAAAAAAGGTAATTATTTTTCTTGTCTGGAACAACTGTAAGATAAAAACTCTTCAATCTGTGCGTTTTATATACGAAGATTTTATGTTTCAAAATATTTCTCTTATATCAATAACTACAAACACATCACTTTTTTTCCATATTTTTCTTGTCGACTTTTCTATGATCCACCATTAACAAAAGTTCTAACTGACTCAATTTTTAAAATCACTCGAAATTTAGAAATGAGTTCGAATCAAACTTTCCATCAATACACAGGACATATCAAACTTGTTTGATATAAAGTACGCAATTCAATGAACACTTTTATTTTATATAATACAGCAACAGATCATTCAAAAGAATATTTTCCTTTCCTAAATTCTTAGAATTCGGTTTTTATAACAAAATATTAACTTCAACAAGCAACTATCTAAGTACATGATATTGAGTGTTTCGAATCACTTTTCCATTATCAGATCTGCTTTAGAACAAATATGTACAATTGTAAACGATTGTTACAATCTTTCGTCTAAGAATTTTAATTATTTTTACAAATCAAAAACTTACGAAGATTATATCTCCTCAGTCGATTTACATTAATCTCTGATATATACAATTGTATTGATTAATTCTAGAAGAGAAATTCAAAATTACTTTTCTTTTTATTGTAAATCTGATAAATTCACATTCCTTTTTACTTCCGTAGAAATCGACAAGTTCAGATCTGAACTGATCTGTTCAAACAATTTATGTTCTAGTTTTGAGAAAGGTACTCTCTGAGTACAACAAAGCTTTGTTCTGTTACTAAAACGCTATTCTCAAGAAAAGAACAAAACTTTTTGGACATATCAGCTCTATGAACTCAATTATTCAAACAGTTTTTTGTGATTGGATCTAATCCGCTCGACCGCTATTTTCCATAATTTTGTTTCGATCCATTGAACCTGAATCGGAATCTTTCTATATTACGATTTCATCGGTTTAGAATTGCTGATCTTCAAGCAGCTCTCTTTCGTATGAAACAACAATATGAAACAGCTCAAAAACGTATACGTGAAGAAAGTGAATTAAAAAATAAATTTGAACAAGATCTTTTACGTGAACAACAACGTATACAAGAATTAACAATTCAAAATGAACAGCAACAAAAAATTTTAAAATTAAAAACTGAAGGTCTTGTTGCTGCACAAAGAAAATTACGTGGTGCACCTAATGGAAATCTCAATGATGGAACAACAACAACAACAACAACGACGACGACGACGGCAACAACAGCAAATTTTGAAGTTGAAATGGAAAAATTAGTTGCTGAAAGAAAAGAATTAGAAACACTAAGAGATGATATAAAAAAACGTGAAGAACTTATTCAAAAACGAGAATTCTTACTTAATGAACGTACAGAACTTGAAACGAAGAAAATGCGTACAAGCCAAGTACTGAATAAGGTTTGAATTAATATTTGATTTATTTTTGAAATTTAATGAATGAAATTAATTTATCTAGAGTTTAAAATCAGTTAATGAAAAATTAAAAAATGTTGATAAACAACAACCAAATCATCAAATGATACGTGAACAATTACTTAAACAAAAACGTTTATTTACTGAACGTTTAGAACAACAAGATAGTGTATTAACACCAACAGAAGAAAGACGTTTAATTGAAATAGATGAAGCTATTGAAGCTATTGATTTAGCTATTGATTATCAAAATAATATTATTAATAAACGAGAACGTGACGTTCAACAATCTATTCGAGCAAGTCAGGTATGAACATATGTTACGAATACAGAAAGAAAAATCAAAAATTTTATTGTATCGATGTCATTTAGCTTCATAGATTTGTACAAAAGACTTTTTTTGAGCATATAAAATTATGAGAAATGTTCATGAAAGTTAATTTCGAAAAAATTAATATTAGTCAACCTGTATTTGTCATACAATGACTAAACATGATTAACTTTTTATGAACAATAATAATTTTTTAGCACAAACAAATTATTTCGAATTAAGTTTCATGTTGATATATACATTTAAGAAACAAGAAAATTAATACAATAATTATTAAAATATGTTAATGTAGTTCTTGTCAGATTAAAATGTGAAACACAATGTAGCTACTACTGCTAATCACAGGGAGATTGTCGTATTCTATCTTTGTTGAAACGAATTTCTTCACTCTCCTTTCACATAATTCTCGACATATACAATAAGGAAGTAGTTAATATATTGTAATGAGCTGCTATAGATATTCGACTACTAGTTAACTATAGATACGTGTTCAATACTTAAATGTGAAATATTCAATATTTGATACAGACTTTTGCTTCCGGAGGGTCATTTTTAAACTTAGAAAGATAAAGAACAACCATATAGTGCGCTCTGCAAACAATACAAATCACACGAGTGTAGCTAATTTTGGAAAGAACATCATCATCTCTGTGTTAGATTTATATATAACACTGGAAATCACTCAAAGTAAACATCAAGCTAGTATTTTTAAGTATAAATGGCAGAAATCCTAATCATGTTACAATCTAAGACTTAGTATCAATGAATAAGTTTTGTACCATTTTTAAATGTTCTATTGGTCCTGTCTTTTTGTGATATACATGTACTAAGTATGTTTTTAATACGATATTCTATCCATTCTCTATAACTTATTATTAACAGATTCAAATTTGATCCAAAATACATATTTTCAGAATTTCATACTTTCATTAAGATAGCTTTCATGTTGTGTTCGTAAATGAAAAAGTATTGTTTTCAATTTGAACTATCATTACGAAACTTACCTCTTAAGATTTTTGTGAAAGATTGTACTATATTAAACAATAAATTAATTGTATTGTTCTATTCTGTTTTTTTTAGGGTCCCGATTCTCCTCTTTTCAAAATAGGACAATTAAACGAAAATGAATCTAAAGAACTTTGTCGTAAATTATTTGAAAAAGTTATTGATCTTAAAGAAGAAGATAATAAAAATCGTCGTGAATTTGACGACATAAAAGTATGAATATTTTTTATAACTGTTTTTGTCTTTTGATTAGTTTTCGTTTTTTATTATCTTATTTTTTCTAGTCTCAATTACTTGAACAAACTGAAACAATAACTGAATTACAATCACGTATTCAATCATTAACACTTGATCATGATCGTCGTTTAACATCTATTCAGCAAGCACATGAAGAAGAAAAACAATTATTACTTGGACAATTACAAGAATCATCAAATCAAATAAAAGATCTTGAAAGAGATTTATATTTTTATAAACATAAAACACGAGAATTACGTAAATCTATGGCAACATCAACAACAAGTGTACTTGATACGTCAACATCATCAACAACAGGTGTTACACGACGAAAAGAAGCAAATCTAAATGAAGATGATTTTCTAACACAATTACCCACACCAAGAACAGCTGTACAACAACATCAACCTGCACCATTTCTTCTTAAAATAGGTAATCGAAGTAATTCAGCACATCAAATACAACAAGATGAAATTAAAAAACGATAATACATTTAAAAATATCACAGAGATAGATTTCACACAGTAAGCATTCTATAGAAATTCAAAATAAACAAATATGATTAAATCTTCCTTCTCGATTTCTTTTCTTTCTCTCAATTTCACAGTGTTATCCTTATTGTTTTGTTTTTTTTTTCCTTTCTTGTGTTTTTTTTTCTTTTTATAATTTTTGTGTTTGTCAGTCGTGTGTAACATGCTATATGTTTTGTAGTTTTATGTGTGGCATTTGATGTGACTTTTCAATTTGTACATGTTGCACGATTTAAATAAGAAAAAACAAAAAGAAAAATTTATAACAAATGAATATTAATCATTTGAATAAATGTGATATGTTAGGATATGAAGAAGAAAGTAAAACGCAACAACTTGAATTATGAATTCTTTGTACATGTAATTCAGCTTTTTAAAGATAGAAAAAAGACATGTGTGTCACAATAGTATGAAGACATCATAATATAATCAGAATATCTGTATGACATGTTCACATTCACAAAATATATCACGTTAAGACTAAATGAATCTTTTCGATTGTGACGGTAATGATAGAAGCAACGTTTTTGCTATGATTCAATCTCAATAGAGGCCGATTTTCCTTGTCTTAGATATAAACTGATCTGACATCAACCTTTTCAAGCTTGAGAAATAGAAATGAAAAATAGTTGTTAACAATTAGACTAAAATACCTAAAGATTGGATGGTTTCGATTTTGAAATGTATATTACACAATAATTATATAAAATAATTACAGAAAGAACGAAGACATCTCATAATAAAGAGCTGCAGATGCACGATTTTGTGGTCACGACTAGGATTATAATGGAGCTTTTTTTCACGTATATCTAGCGTTTTTTGTATATATAATCAAATGAAGGATCAAGATTTTAGCTCTTTATTGCCTTCTTGTAGAAAATGATCAATCTAACGTTGAAATGTAACATACACGCTCTACCTAGATAGGCTGATGTCAAAGCCAAAACTCGGAGACGAATTCGACTATTAGCTCTTTACCTTATAAGCTTGAAACTATGCTGAGAAAAAAATAGAAAATATCGGCTTTAGTTGGATCAGAATATTAAGCTAAAAGTCTATTCTCTTTTATAAAAAATTCTGCATGTTTAGTTGACTAGGCAATAGACTGAAAATTTGTTGATTTTTGTACTTAAAATTATTGGTACCGGCCGTTTTTTTTTAATGATTAAACACATATCGTAAGGAGATATATATTATCTTATATTCAAATTAACACTCTTCATTAAAATCACAATTCGACTCTTATGAAGTAAGAATCAGAGTGATCGTGAAGGAATTCTTTCAGAGTCAATGTCGGAGTTACATCAGTAAAACAGTCAAGTAATTTTACTCTTACATAGTAACAATTTTATGCTTCATTTGTTAAGTGATGAACAAATATATACAACTTGATAGATTCATAAGTTTCAAGAAGAAAAAACATTAGAGAAACATTTTCATTGGGAAGTAGTACGAAAAGAAATATATGTATATATATATATATATATGCCAGTCATAGAAAAATTTCGGAGTTCCCTATAGTCGAAGTCGAAAAGTTTGCCTTCGCAGAACTCTAATTCAAATATCGAATTAAAAGCGGTTCATCTATTTTGAGCCTTTGGTTATACAAAAAATTCGCTATTGTTTCTTATCAAACTGCATCTTTCGACGATTACTATTTATGATGTTTGCTTGAAATTGTCAATAAACAATTTGTTTTCCATTTTTAATAAATTTTTCAAGTACAAATATTTGTGAATTTCGTCTATATATTACAAAATGTTAAAACATTTATTTATTTTATTAAACAAACTTTTTTTTTCAAAATTTTAGAAAAAGAAAACGATAATATTATTCTATCATTTACAAGTAGTATTATATTAATATTATTCGTAATACTTATTCTCTCATACAATCTGCATAAAAGCAAACATACACCTGAAATTTATCAAATTGATTATTTGATAAGAATTTCTAATAATTTTTACTATCGAACTATGTGAATAGAAGTCAAAAAAAAAAAGTTACATTCCTTTTCTTTGTTTTCTCTTGCTGTTTAATCAAGCCCATGTGCATTATATGTCGTCACATCAATTGTTTCGTATAGTTATTTAAAATGAGGTACGAAAGTAAAAAAAAGAGAGAAAGCTGACAACAACATAAAAGAATTTTTTTTTTCTCTATCAAAGTGGTATAGTTTCGAGAGACAGTGAAGTGTTAATTTTACAGCTGCAATAGCAACGTCGTTGTCGACCAACGATTAATATTTTTCTTTTTTTTTTTCAATCAATATATCACAAATTTCAAATAAATAATTATGACTGATTGTAACCAACATCATGGTTCTATATCAACTGTTCAATTAAGTCCATTTGCTGAAGAACAATGGAATCGTATAGTAACATACTCGCCAATTTATGTACATTGGACGGATATGTTAATGATGGCTCAACGACGAACACATAAACCCTCATCGGGAAAATTAAATGTCATGGGTCGTATTGATTTAAATAGTCTTAAATTAGAAGATGAACTATTCCTTAATGAACTTCATAATATAAGAAAAGCAGCTGCTACTGATCCACTAAAAGGAAAAACTACAAATCAAGAAACAAAAGTTGATGATGATACACGAAACCATCGAGACGCATTATCAACCACAGAGGATTATCAAGCATCATCAACAAATTTCTCTCATGATTCAAGAGAACCTACAAAACATCATTCTAGCTATGTAGAATCATCATTGACAGAACAACAATATAAAAGCAAACGCCCTGCTTTGTTAAATCAGGTATATATTTTGTACAGGCTCTAGTCAATATTTTTTTTCATTGAATTTCTAAGGTATGAATGTAAATTGTTTTTCAAAAGCAATGTAATTATTTTTTTTTTATTCGAATTTTTCATAACTAAAAATAGACAAGTTCACCATTATTAATTGAGAATCTCAATAGAGACAAAAACTTCTTATGCATTATTTCTAGGTCACCTTTTGCATACAAAAAAAAAGAAAAAAATGTATTGATACATGAAAAACCTTAAAACTATTCTAATTATTTTGTTTATATTTCTTTATATCTTTAGAGTGTTCCTTCGCAAACTATTGGTGATAATCAAGTGAAAAAGCTATCTCAGATTAGTTTCGGTACAAAATATCCATCTTCAATCATCACACAACTTCGACAATCAGCAATTGCTCGTGAACATTCTTTCTCAACTACAAATGATAATCGTATTTCTAGTCCTTTATCGATTTCTTCATCAAAACGAAATGTTGTTAGTGCTCATTCAAATCATAGTTATCGTCAACAACAAAAATATCAAGCATCAAAATCATCATTATCGAATGACATGAATACAACGGGTAGTATTCATGAACAATTAACTGGAGAATCATCATCTTCTTTCAGAGGAGCACGTGCAAGAAGTACTACGAGTAGTCGTTCAACAATGCATATGCTTAAAACAAAAAATGAACGTAAACGACAAAAACAATATATTGAATTAAAAACACTTTTAGTTGATCCATATAAACAAATACCATGGAATGATGGAACATTAGATGAATCGATTCCAAATTCCCTTGAAATAATGCATAAAATGTGTGGACCAGGAACTCCATTTGAACGAAATTTACGATATAATTATCAAAGACAATTAAATCAATTGAGAAACAGTTCAATAAAATCTTAAACATACAATTTGTCAAAGTTTTTCTTTTTTGAACATAAATTGATTCAACGAATAAACTATATCAATTGATTGTAATTTTGTCTTTTTTTTTTCGAATATTTTGTTCACATGTTTGTTGTTTGTATATTGATTAAGCAATAAAGCAAGAAGAAATATTCAACCTAATATAAAATATTCTAGATTTGAATTAAACAGCAAACAGATATCTCTGATCAGATACTTCTATGTAACGAAATGTGATAAATAAAAATAAAAAGCAATAAACTTCACTAAAAAATTGGATGTTTAATATCATATCAAAATTGTAAACATCGCGAACAATTTATACTCGATATCATCAGATATTCTTTTACCAGCCTTTCTTTTCATTAAATCGTTTGATAAACTATTAGTCGTGTGATAATGAATCTCATTATTCATTTAATGGAAGGAGAAAATCTTGCTATCCAACTGTATTTTCCATCTCCACAACCTATCATTTGTACTTTATTATTCGTTATTAAAATCTCGGCTGTACTATGGATTATTATCGTTTTAGTTTATACATTTTCTGATTGACGGTTAATTGAAACAAAAATATTTTGTAATCAAGTTAGAATGCTTCTATTTTTATCTCATTTTTTTATAAAACTCTTGATCGTTTGGAAAACATATGTCCAAAAAGATCATCATTTTGCTTTTGATATTATTGAATTGATTATATTATCTTAGTAATGAGTCTTTTTCTTAGAGCTACTGCGAGTACCCAACATCATTTTCTACTATCTAATGGTCTATGATTACTTGCATATAAAGAAAAATGGTGAATATTGCAGTCTATTCCATTGATAGTTTGTGTAGTATATTCACCTACTTATAATTTTAGTGTATGATTTGAAATACTATGAATCGAATTATTAATAAAAAGAAACAAGCCTTCAGTAGTCAGAATATGGTTTTAGTTGATCTTGTATTGATTATTTAAAATTCTTTGACAACAAAAACTTATTCGAAAAACTCAACGAAGATGAACTATTTCATTGTTTATTTTTTCATTACTTGATACTATTGTTTAGATTTTCATGAGAATTATAATTGTATTACAAGAATCTTTTCTTCTGAATGTATATGATGACATGCCTTAAATTTATTTAATTTATGCATTACAATCATTTATGTATTTATTGGCATAGCTTAACGTCATGAATTATCTTAAAAACCACGCAAAATGAATGTTACTTGATCAAATATTAGACCATGAATAGTTACTGAATTCATCTTGTGATTGTCATGTACACTTTTCAAGTTTTTTAAATGATTTTACTTTATTGTTGAATGAAAATATTTACTAAGTATACATTCAAATTCAATAAATAAAATTTTTTTTTATGATAACTCAATATTTTCACTGTTTATATTAACCAATAGACATTACAAAGTGAAAAAGAGACTTGCCTTAAAGTAATTACGAAAGCTTAAGCAGTTACTGATTTAAAGTAAAACAGTAGTTTGTCTCTGATACTGTCCATTTATATTCATCAAAAAACAGCTCATTTAAAGTGCATATGATGTGACATTTTATAATTGAAGATTCCAATGTTCATTTGTTACTCATCTATTGAATACTCAATCTCTTTCCGTTCGTTCTGAAACAGTATAGCATCAAATAAAAATAAAAATTTTCACTGTATTCGATTAATAAGAATATATCTAAACATATTGCACAAGCTCATTCAATCTGAGATATCGAATCACATATCAGTAGTGTTTTAAAATTTTTTTTTTTATAATCATCTGTCTATATTAAGTTTAGCAACATGTGCAATCTAATGATTCATTTGTGTCATATCATCAAAATCATCTGACTGTTTGAACAAAACAGAGAGAAAAACAGAGAGAGAGAGAGAGAGCGAACAAAACCGCGCGTCGACGGAATATACGAGAAGGATTCTTTGTATCTTTCATAATACAATTAGAAGCATAGTCTTCGAACAGTTCTATATATTATCTATAATCTTTTTCAATTTTCAATTTTCTTTTTTGAATATTTATAAGTATTAAAATACTCTTTTCAATTAAAAAAATTTAGTAATCAATGTCGTCTGGTAAGAGATTATATTCAATTGTTTAACATATTTTATCTTTATATATATATATATATAGAAGATATTATTATTAAAGAAGAACCAATTGTTGATCGAACTATTCATTTTTTAATTCCAGCACTTTCTGCAGGTATTATCATAAATAAGGAATAAATTTTTGCTCCATTTTCTAATTTGTCTTCAAGACGAACCATCACATATTCTTAGTTTACCTGAAATATTTGCTATACAACAGAGTCCATTAGAAGTAAGTCATTCGTTTATTATCTATATACGAATAAACAAGATTAAGAAATAATATAGTGATGTTCAGAATTGATCATAGACCACACGTAAAAATACAGATACCTACTACAATAAAAAATATCATGTTTCATTCTTTTGAGCAAGAACTTATATTTGTTACAATATTTTGACTAAAAAGCAACTGAAACATATTTAAAATCATTTTTTAAAGATGTCTTTTCGTTGAAAAGGATGAAATACAAGGTATAATATTCAGTCATTTTTACTTATGATGTATGATCCATATTCATCGATATTAAAGTACATCATTTTGAGTATTTCTAGTTTGGTTTAGGAAATATATGACTCAATGAGTTGATATTTTGAACAAATAAACTATTAGAAAAGTGAGATGATCAATTAGGCGTATGATCAATACTGAGTACCATCGTGTATTGATTTTCATGATTATTAATGATCAATATTTCAGATACCATTACCATCTGGAAAATATATTCTGGCTCCAAGTCCAAGTGAATTATGTATATTTGAGATATTTCTTGTATTTCGTTTAATATTTTTTTTTTTATGATTCAGTTCATTATTATGAATCAGTTCAACCTCAAATGAATAGTATAATATCTTCATCTGAAGGTATAATTGATCATTTAACATCGGAAAATTTTATTCATATTGTTGAAAATCTATCTGAATATTCAATACCTTGTCCAGTAAAAGAAGCTTAGATTTTTATTAATTCAGATAAAAAGTAAATTTACCTAGGTTTTACAAAGTCATGTTGATAAATCAACATCAATGATTTCCATAGATGATTTTGATGAGATAACATCAAATCAACCACCAATTACAGAATATTATTTTCGTCCAAGGTAAATTTTTAATATAATTATCAAACAAACTTTTTTTTAATTCAAAACTTTCTAGTCCATCATATTATGATCCAAATTGTGAATATTCATTTTCAACAATTGATGATCCAAATTTATTTATACATAATGAACAATTAACATCACATTTAAATAATTCAAGTAATAGTTCATCGAATTGTGATGTTAATTATCAATGGACAACATTACCTGTTACAATATCATCATCGAATAATACGAATTGGAAAAAAGTTCGGTCAAATGGAAATCATAATAATAAAATAAAAGCACGAAATAGTCGAAAGCGTACTAAATTTTCTAATGATGATCTTGAAATATTAAATTTATTTTTTGAAAGAAATCCTATGCCATCTCGATCAGATATATCCATTTTATCAGAAAAACTCGCTTATCCACGTTATATTATTCAAGTTAGTATTGAATTTTTTTTTATAGTTAATCTTCTTATATATGTAAATGATTTTTAGGTATGGTTTTATAATAAACGTCAATCACTTAAACGAACTAATTCCTCATCATCTCGATTAGATAGAATTGCTAAATGAAAAATGTTTTGATTTTTCCAATTTCAGAAATTTATTTGAGTTTTCTTTGTTTTTCTTTTTCAATTATAGAATATATTGTAGTCTGTTAATGTTCATTGATTTATATATTATAAATAAAATAATGATTGAATTAATAATTTTTTGATACGATTTCTAATTGTGTTCGAAATTTAAATAAACTATTTGAAAAGAACTATGCTCAAAAAAAAAAGACCACGAACTATTAGCATCGGCAGGTATTCATTACTCTCTAATGGTATTGTAATAGAATTCTTAGTATTCGAAATATTAATTACATACAAATATAATATGATGTAGGTATAGAGTGTACTTGCGAATATTCTGCTCACACCGACACCCATATCTTAGGTCAAAAAACGCCGTAGAAGAGTTGGAAGACGTTCAATTTTGTAGAGAACTATTTGCTTTGATATTCTTAACGGTTTAAACAGAATTCTATTTGCATATTCTATGAGCTGAGAAATTTCGTTCTTGATTTTTCAAAGACTCTATTCTTAGAAAACTAGCAATCATCTTCATCTTGACAAAACTTTAGTTAGAAATAAATTACTCTCATTGATGTTAATACCATTTCGAGTATAGCACTAGTAGTTATGACCATTTATATATGCAATAGTAGTAACAAAGAATGAAATTCGTTACCACAAGTATATTACACTTACTCGAATTTCGATATTTTGTTATCAAAATTTATAATTGTTTTTAATTTGTGAAAGGTTATTTTTGTTTTTGGACAATTAATATGACAGTACTAAGAAGGATCATTTAATTTGTAGATTCTAATACTTCACATATACCACATTATTTTGAGTTTGTATTTCATTATTGTTGACTTAATGTTCGAGTTCTATTTATCGCATATATAAAGGGTGTTCCATAATAACTGACGATAAATTGTTATTCATATTTTTCATACTTTTTCTTGACATAGAGGGCTGAAATTTTTATCACATATATATCTAATGAAGATCTTCTGTTTCTGAAAGTTTTAGGTCTCTAGCTATAACTACTGGTGAAATACATCAACAACATTCAAATATATAAATTTTCGAAATCGATTTTTCAATACTTTTTATTGTGAAAATGTTGCAGAATATTTCCATAAGTAGTTAACCAAAAAAACACAAACTGCTCAGAAAATTTTTTTTCGTATCAGAATTTGTAGAGCTTTTCCCGCTGATCATTTTGGTAAAAAAACTTTTCCAATTTCATTGAGA